TATAGGCAATATTAGCTTATTTGGATATCTTCCACGATAATTGTCAACATTATTACAATACTTTTCAAATAAATAAGTATGTGTTTTCACAAAGTTACATGTTTCATAAATATATAAGACAGAGTTAGCAGTTTCAGCTTTTTAAAATACGGTACACAGCTAGTTCTGGGTGTGAGTTTGTTTATAGCACGAATACATTGCTTCTGTGCTATAAATGTCTTTCCAGTTCTGTTGAATTTCCCCATACTAAAATGCCGTATCTAAGATAAGCAAATATCCATGATACGCCAATAAAGCGGTTCTTTCATCAGCATTTACAAGACGCCATAAGACATAGGAAAAACTATTAATTTTACTGTTTAGATTTTTTATGTGTGGTTTCCTACAGTGATTATCCAACATGATTCCTAGAAATTTCACAATGTCACATTCATTAATTAATTGATCATTGTGTTTAATCATTAAGTCAAATGTTTTGTTATTTCTTGATTATGAAATTGAATATATTTAGTTTTGTCTACATTAACTTTTAGATTATTTTCTTCTAGCCAATTAATAACATCAGATACGGTTTTATTAATTTCTTCATTATATACATTCACAGAGTCATAAATATTTGGTATCACAATGGCTATATCGTCCGCAAATAGAGTGCAAAAATGTCTGGTTATAGTCGGTAGGTCATTTATGAATAAAATAAATAATAATGGACCCAAAATACTTCCTTGTGGTATCCCAATGTCTTTTACTTTATCGTCAGATTTATACAATACTTCATTTAACTGTGGATCAAGATTTGCTACTTCAACTCGTTGGACTCTATGACTTAAATAAGTTCTTAACCAGTTATAAGCATTACCTCTAAGTCCGTATCTATCACATTTAGACAGTAATAGCTCATGTGGAATGAAATCAAACGCCTTGCTCATATCATAGAATACAGCTGTAACTTCAATAGATTTATCAACATTACTCAAAATGGTACTGACGAGTCTAAAAGCTGCTAGCGAAGTAGATTTTCCCTTTTGGAAACCGTTTTGATTTTCATTCAATATATTATGTTTATTTATAAATTTTGTCATTCTATTATGCATTGCTCTTTCAAAGATTTTAGATATAACTGATAGTAGTGCAATTGGTCTATAGTTATCGACGTGCTCAGTATTATGCTGCTTATATATAGGTTTCACAATTGTAATTTTTAATCTGTCTGGGAATATACCGTGAAGGAATGATAGATTTATTAAGTAACTTAAAACGGGTGCTATAATAGTTTTGGTAGCTTTGATTATATTTATAGGTAGATCATCATTTCCTACTGATTTTGTGTTTTTGATTGTGTATTATACTACATATCTCATTTTGATCTGTTGGAAATAAAAATAAGCTATCATTTATACGTTGAATATTTCGTAAATTATTATTTTTTATACAATTGTAATTTTTTGGTACATTTATGAAGTGCTCATTAAAGACATTAGCTATATCTTCTGGCTTGTCAATTACTTTGCAATTGTGTACTATCTGTTTTATGTATTGTTTTTTTATGGTATTATTATTCTTTATGAGTTTCCAAGATGTTTTACATATATTACTTATATCCTTCAATTCTTGTCCCTGACGGGTCTAGGTAGCGAGCTTTGAAAAAGGGCAAGCACAATAGATCTATGTAGGTCGCAGTGCTACAGGTGCAGGTATCTGACAATAGCCCAAACAACCCAATAAAAAATAAAATAAAAGTGGTAAATGCTTTAGTCGACCCCTAAACAAATAGTCTTGAGACTGAGATGGGCATAGTAAATGCATGTTAAGTATGTATAAAATTCAATTATACAACATGTATGTTGTTAAGGTTGTTTACAGTCTAATTTTCGGTCATAGAAAATCATTTAAGGAAAATGCTCCTGTGCAATCAATAAAATGACATAAATTTTTGTAAGGAAAGTATTTTATATCTCAGGTTTTTGTAATTTCAATAGCTAATAATAGGTATGTACATTTGTTTGAGAAATCAATTATAGTTTAAGAATAGTGAATATTTAGAAATCTAGAGCGTGGTGTATGTACTTAACACTAGTTCTATTTTTGTTAATAAAAAGCTTAGAAATATTAATGAGCACTAATGGTTACTAAAGTAACTGTGATCATTGAGTTGTCGGCAGTAGTACACGGTAGTAATTTTATATTGTAATAATAATACAATATATGCCAATTTCATTTCGCTTTAACCTAAAATATAATTGAGGAAAACAAGAACAAGAAAACTCGAAAAGTCATTATTCACCGGCCTGGCCGGCGTGGTAGATACCTACTAGTAATGTAATTATATAATTATATATTTTTTATTAATACTTAATGATATTTTCATTTTAGTGACAATTGAATTCAAAACTTCATTGTCTTATATACCCACTTAATTAATTTTCGATAGATAGATTCGAATGAAGGCTTCAGTTATCCTCTGGGGTTGGTATTTTAAATATGCATATAAGTTGGGGTTAGTTCCTGTGGAAACGTCTATTCAAATATAACATAAGTTACCTGTATGTTTGTATTTCATTGGCATATGGACTCGGTTCCGATGTTTGCCCATAACTAATATCTGCCTTCTGAATATCTGATTGATTGTACGTCTAGATACGTGTTGGTGAGATGAAATTCAGACACCGTATTTATTACCTTTATCTTTAATATTTAGTTATTATTATACTAAATCCAGTTCTCGAAGTTTAAATTACATTTACATGTAGTAGACATGATGGCCCTTTCATATAAATCTGATTAACCTCCTGCTTAGGGGGGAAGATGATTGTTAGTAATGTGGACGAATAACCCCATTGCTAACTATGTACCACACGGTTCCCCCTGAAAACCATCGTGATAAAATCCTGGTGAATTTGCCACGATGGGTTAACTAACCTGACCTCATGCACATTTTAACATCCTACACTGATGCCGGCCAGCGTAAACCGTTAGCGCAGGCGGTGCAACAATCCATTAACATTCATTAAACTAAAAAACTAAAATTTATAATCTCCTGCTTATCCGCATTTTAACAGAAAACTATATAGGTGCCTACAGACTATATCTACTGAATTCAAATTTTTACATCGATTTATCTGAAAGACTTAATCATAGTCTTATGATTAAAGAAAGATTTAATCATAAGACTATGATTATTAATGTAAAATTTCGTGAATTCATTCATTCATTCGTGAAATTTCGTCAATTCTAGCGGTTTAGTACACCCCATCTTAATTGTCGCAGATTCCATTCTCAAACTTTCTTGATGAATACATTATTACTTTATTTTTTTTTTAAACAAACACATAAAACTGATTACATTTTTTTGTCTTCAAGAATTGTATACCAAATCGGAACAACTCTATATTGGAATTGAATATCTATATAAAAATAACCGCTATTTGAAAATTTTATGCGATAGTACTCATTCATTCATTTAGCCAATAATAAGCTACTGAACATAAATATCGAATATGGGCTGCCACAATAAACCGGTTTGAACCGCACTCTGAAGTGTAATAGACTTGTCCTGCCTTAATGACATATCAGTGGTCGTACTTTTTATTGTTTTCAAAACAATCATTTTAAATAGATTTAGGCAGATGATAGTTTGAAAGATAAGTGGCGTTACATAATAATCGTTGTCTTCAGTGCAAATAGAGTGAGCACTAGTCCTCGCTCACTCCCACATTTTGTACCGAAAATATTCACCGTTTCAAAAATTATATATACATATTTATCAATTTCTACTAGTAGTCTCACCGTTAAAATTTGACAATTATTTAATATTTATATTTTAATCTAACTACATTTTTTAAACATTATCATAAAATATTATTAGCTTTTTCCCTTTTGCACTTCTTCTCAGGCTCTGTTAGCGTAATTATCGAGGAATATACAGTTTCTATTTATGGATAACTAGTATATCGCTTAACTTTTTCTTGCAGATACCATGCCATGTATTAGTACAGATGTATTGAAATTTTGCCGTTTATTATAAAATGAGCAATGGGTACCATAAAGCATCAGTCAAACGAGAGAATATAAATTAAAGACAAATTCGTACAAGTAATTACATAGTATTTATTCGTATTAAATAGTTGCACTGAGTGTATACAAAAATGTATCTATAATGTCAAAATGCAAAAGTCCTTACAAAACAAGTTTTTTTTTTAAATACACCATTATGTATACAACATCGAGAAAGTTATTACATATATCTATCAAACTTCGTTAAAAATGACATATTTGTGTATAAGTGTACATTTATAATAAATTACTTATTTTATGGAACGTAACTAAGTAGCTTAGATATTTATTTAAAGCATTTAAACCGACGGCATAAATACGAGGTATTCATTTAGAACATGTTCTCTTTTATAAATAGGCACTCGTTAATATATAGTATCTAATAATGTCTCAAAAATACTTAGATAATAAGAATAATGTTACAAAGAAAATTCTAGAAATATAAAGATGTGATTCAGTAAATTGTATAATATCCATTAATAGTGAAATTGTTCATGGATTTGAAAAGTCAGATTCAGTAGAGTGTATATAATGTGTGTATGAATATTCTATTTATTTAACATAGATTACGACTATAAAATAACAATAAAAAATACAGATATCAAATACCCGTAGACAGTATAAAAAAAACATTAACTATTTCTTAACTTCAAAATAAATTAAGTTTACACATGACAAACATTTTGGTATCGAACTTATATAATTTTGTACTGTAGACATCATCGACTATATACGGATGTTTTTTTAACGATATAATTATATAATAGAATACTTTGGTTTAGATGAAATGTACAGAAATTATATTGATATCTGTATTTTTCTAAAACTTTTTTAAATTCTTACATTGTAAATTTTATGAAAAATATAAAAATAGTTCTAACCAGGTACATTATCTTAGACACAAAATGTTGGAAGTTATTTTTTTTTACTGAATTGTGTTATTTATAAAAATATTGTATTACTAATTTGATATTGTGTTCCCTTTTTCGTTGACATGTTGAAAATAATGAGACTGGCTGCAATCTAGCATACTAAACATTAGCACAGAAAATAAAACTTATTTTATAATAGTTATGTAAAAATCATTAGACAAAGTAATTTAAAACGATTGCCACTCAAACATCCTCGTGTGATGAAACAAACAACAAATGAAAAAAAATATGCTCAAATAGGGACTAACTAAAAAATCTTCGGCAGTACATAAACATTATTTTCATTTTACTCTATTTTTTTAAATGTTATATTTCTAACTAATTTTATTGTGTAATGAGGCATTAAAAATATAATAAATATAATGTAAATTAATTTTTGGAAAAGATATTTGATGACATTAAATTCTATTAATGTCTAGGTTTGTGATTAGCCAAAGATTTTTTAGTTGTTCACCATGATTTGTAGATAGTTTAGCCTCCGCGCTGTGTTAAAACAGCATCAATGAGTAAAATAGCTCCGTTGATAATAGCCAGGGAAGCCTTCGCGAGGTTCTTGTTCGTTATGTCATTTTTGCTTGCATGCTGATATCTGTAATAAAAAAATATATATATACGTCAAAAAAACTCAATTAATTTTCATGGCTAGGTAGTAGAAACTACATAATTGAATACATTAAAAAATAATAACCTATATTTTTTAGAATACATTAAAAAATAATCGAAGAGTTGATTTGACCATATATTTTTTCATTATAATGATTCATGAACATAATGACTTATTTAATTTAACATCATTCTAAATATCATAAAATGAAATAATTGCACCTGAAAGAGTTGATATAATGGTCATACTTTCCGTATAAAGTTTATTCTCCATACACGTATACAATCTCAGTACATAATGGATACCACTACAATGTTACATAAACATTAAGATTTAACATAATTTTAAGAAAACTGGATTTTTCCTTTCATGTTATAATGACACAACAACCGCTTCATTTTATGAACAATAAAAATAACTATTATTTAATTTAACATCATTCTAAATATCATAAAATGAAAAATTGTAGTTCCAAAAATAACTATTATCTACAAAGTACGGTACGTGGGGCGCTAAGGTAGCGCCATCTATGTTACTAACAAGAGAAACTATTGCTACTTTACCAATGTACGCTTACACACCCGATATCTTCGCCTGATATTTTGTGGCTGTAAACGTCTTATCTCGCAATTTGTTGATATTGATTAACGTGTGGTCTAGTCAATCAAACGCAAAATGCCTCATGAAGAACTTATGCCTCTAAATTCTGTAATTTCCTTTCCTTACCTCATTATTCATCTCATTCACAGCGTACAAAGCAAGCGTCACCTACTTGCAGACTACTTTTTAAAATGACTACCGATTAAAAAAAACAACTTTTACGTTTAAGCATACCTAAAAGTAGAAAATAATATAATCTGCGAAGCAGCTTGCTTTGTAAGATGAGTTTGTGTTAACTAGTAGGAAATTAAAGGGCATAGTGGTAATAAAGGCGTGACATGATGATTTGATGACCCTGATTCTGTTTATATGTATAGTTGATACCATTCACCATTGGGTGGCAATATGGTTGGTTACCGTTCCAGTTACATTAAAAAAAAATGTGTCATTACTTGTCAATGATGACAGCACCACTGGCGACGAAGAGCGCCACTCCGACCAACGAATAGAAGATGTCAATGCGTTTGTGAGATGGTGTTTGCATTACGTATCCTGAAATGTGAATTATTCAGTATTTTATTTGAAAGCCTGCATACTGTCCCGACTATTCCCAGATTGGTTAGTCAGAGGCAATATCAACTGTTGATGTTACGGTGAACGCAACTGTTGACATGCCTATATTTCACTCGGTATATTTTGATTACGACATGGCAGACCAAGTCTACCGCCATTTCTCGGGAAAATTCTTTGGTTAGACAACAGTATTTTTTTCACTGGAAATATAAATGAAAAAACGCTTTCTCTTTTGTGCCGGCCAGATTGGAACTCTTGACCTCCTGACCTTAGACTATTTTATATCAACTTGAAATCATGGTATCCTTGTTTATATATATGTGCATTTCTTGTACATTTATTATTATTACTATAAGATATTATCTTTCTGTACAACAAAACGAGTATAAATACTGCCGCTACTAACATGTTATGTTTTTTTTTATTTTCAGTATTTCAAGCGGGCAACAGCATATGCTATGCTATCTGTATATGGTAGTTGTAATTAATAAAATACTGACCAGCAGCGGCACCGGCGAAGATAATGAGGTATCCGACGAAGGTGCCAGTAACCAGCATGCCGATGTCCGCCTCCCAGTTATAGCTGTGGTAGTGCAGGGCCACGCACGAACATGTCAGCGCCTGGAATCGCAACATAAGATATTATTACTATTGCTTCTTCATAACAGACTTTAATTTAAATACACACTTTAGTGGTAATAAATGCGTATATCAGTCTGAACTATTGCACCTGCCAAGGTTACAAAGCAAACTGCTTTGTAAGAAATTCTTGCAACTTGAAATAGGTTATTCATTTATACCACGATGGTGGTATCTAAGCATTATATTACCCAAATACTAAATAAATATATTTGATGTTTGAAACATATTGATGTTTTGAAATTGAATAGTTAATTCATAGTCCTTAAATTCGTCCGGCTTAATTAGACAGTCTCGACACTGCCGACATTTTTATTTATGAGAATGAGTATCAATTGTATGTTCTGAGTTTTTTGTATGTAAGTACATTGTGTATGTATTTACAAAAAAAGTAGTGCCACACCAATCCACAAGCTCTGATTAGCTTTAGACTGCAGTTTGTTCAATGATTATTATAAAACATATTTTACTTTTTATGTAATTTGAGAACACAAGCTAATGGGCCGTCATCCTACTGATGGTAGCAGTAACCTTCGCCTATATGTATATATGAACAGCACCACTTTTACATACATTGCTTTAAAGGTCACAATATCTTATCATTAAATTACACATTAAACAACTACGACAAATTGAGTTGAGACATTCTGCAGAACATAAAATCATATAGGGTGTGTGTGCCCTCCGTTTAATGACGTCACTGTAACAATTTATTTGTTTCGCTGACGTTATACGTGAACGTTTTGGGGCCGATGATGTCATCTGCTGCCACCTACCTACCGTATAAATGTAGATGCAAGTCGTGGCGAGGCCACGAGGCCGTATAGAGTGAACCTTGTGCGATGAATTCACTGGTAATTGGGTCAATTGTTTTATTTTTATATTTTTGTGCCTGTATATTATTTTGACTTTAATGATACAATTCATAGAGTTAACTAAACTTTGTTATTAGCAAGGCCAAGAAAAAACAAACAAAACTTCCCTCAAACTCAAAGCCTACAGTGACTTCACTCATTACAACAACAGTACTCCTTTCTACTTTTTCTTGCCACCTACAGATACTCGTTGATAGATATCAACAGGTCTTATTGTCTTAGAAAAAATACTGAACAACGCACAGTTTAAAATCGGAATTTATGTTACTAAATGACCGAACATTTAGTAACATAAATTCCGATTTTAAACTGTGTGTAGTTAGTTATTTTGAGCTCACGTTTTCTTATCATACTTTACTACTTAGATTACTCCGTTATGCATGGCCATCGCACTGCAACAGATTTTACATGATGTAATGAAGTGACATACTACCAGACAACTGACATGACGATGCTAAGTATTCATTCACAGAACCCTAAGAAAAAGAACACTAAAGGTAAAGGTGAAATGCCGTCATACAATACATGGCATTGATAGTTGTGTTAAAAAGGTAGTAAAGCCCAGAGGAAGTCCGTATGCTATAGCTGAGGTCACACGTTTACTATTATGCATTGGCTATGTCCTCCAAAGACCTAACGTTTAGATAAAGTCTTTGAAGGTAGCGTCAACAAAAAAATTATGTAATATTACGTGATGTCAATCACATCTATTTTTAGATATGCATTATTTTTGTTTAGAGGCAAAAAATGTTAAACTATAATACTATAAAAACAATAAACGCTAAGGAACGATGTAAAGTATTTTTTTTATCTAAATAATTTATTTTGAATTGATTTATGTTTTATATTATGTATTTGTTATTACATACTTTAATAATGAAATTCTGCTGATGGATGGATCTATATCAAGATAGTTATAAGTATCTCAATATTGTACTCACTATCTTAATATTATTATACACCATATTTTGTTTGTAGTACGTAATAAAACAAATAAACTTTATTAAATTATTGTTCATACGAAATATCTCGATGAGTAATTGGTTGATAGATATGAATCAAGGTCTGACCTGACGTGACCTGATAAAAGTATGCTTTTAAAAATAGTTTTAAATTAAATACGAATGTACTCGTAGTTTGGAGTGCAACTCTTTATACAGCTGAAAATGTGTATTAATTGTGAATATTAGATCAATGTCATTGTAAACCGCTTTATATTTGAATAATATTATAAATTATAAGAGCAGCGTTTCATTTGCTACTTAGTTTTGTGTTTTTTTTATTTATTATATTTTACCGATTTTCTGGTCAAAATCAACAAGTATTCAATTTCGAGTGTCTTATCATAATTTGAATGGACTTAAAAAAATTAGTTATTTAATAATTCTTTGTTTCGTTTGGCTAACTATTTATACTCATCATAACATTATTGACACTCATAATTACATTCATATCACACCATCTATTAGATATATATGAGCGAGCAATAACATGTCCACGCATTATGTCATCACTTATATTAGAATTCTCTGAAGTCATTGATAATTGATTTAATGCCAGAGGTATAAGAAGTTTAATTATAATAAAAAAATAGTAAATTATAAAAGGTACCAGATCTCTCTTCTTTTTTAATATTATTTAATTTAAAGACTGACAAGATCACCTATTAATGTACATGGTTTTATTATATCTACTAATACTATAAAAACTAAGTGTGTCATATGTCTGTTAGTCTGACATAGCAATGAAATTTAAAGAAAGATATAACGAATCATTGAAATATTATTAAAACAAGCTAGACCAACATCGAAATAATGATAAAAACGCAGGAAATCACAATCATAGTATAGAATAAACGTTTACGTACTTCTAAGGCCGGAATTCATTTATGGTTGATTTGACTATGAACAATGGCGGGAATCTACATACATCTTTATGCACATACACATACACTAAAATATTGGTTTCTGACATAACTCATACTCAAAAAGCTATGGCATTGAACGTTAATTATCTCGAATACGAATAATGCAAATTTTTCACCATTCCATTCAATTTCATTAAAAAACGCATACTCATTTAGTACATTAAATACAGATATAAGTAATACAATCAGTACAATACAGATATTACAGTCTTTATTATCAGAACGCGTGTTTATGATGCTATTTAGTATCTCATTTATGCTTGTTAGTACTTACTCAGCTCTACCTACAAACGTGGAATAAAGCGTTATTTGTTGATTGCATACTTTAGTTGAAATACATTTCTAATATGCCATATGCACTATGCTTCTAACAGGATTTTCTTAAAATATACGTACACCCCTTTTGGGTAGAAATCTTCCAAATATCATAGAATTTCTAAAAACAAAATTACCAGAAGTTTATTTTTAGAAATTCTATGATATGCAATTGTATAATAAATTAATTCGAAGAAATATTTCGGCATATCTATTGGTTCTGAATGAATGAATACGGAATATTAATCTTACACCAAATATATAAAAGAACATAATTGGAATAGTAAGTGAGTTGTATTTTAGTCAGATTATATATTTATTCTTACTATTGTCCTCATACAATTCAACCAATAAAACTCACAATGCCCTCAAATGATTTTATTTCCGCAATTCTTTTAAAATACAAAAATAGAATTAATGAAATATAACACACTATTTCCTTCCAGGAATAGTTACTTTAGAACGGTCCACCGCGCAACGGTTTAAATTCTCCCGGTTACATCGTAAACTTGAATGATGTAATCTAGTTTAATAATACCTACTACTTTAATGTCGTGTACGCGTTAGTATGATAAATCTTATACTTTATACTTCACAGCAGATCCATTAGATAGAAGTATGGAGTTGATTATTAGTTATGGGGAAAAGTAATCCATTGCTAACAATGAATCAAGGCAACCTCTATGAAGTCTGCTTTGGAAACAATCGTGGTTAATTCATAACACTTATGGTATCATTTTTTATTGGTCCCTACTACTTACCGGTATCAGTACGATTTTGCAAGCGGATGCACAATTTCATATCAATAAAAAAAAACTATATATAAGATGATAATGAACTATTGCTTGCCCATCAGACTCTAAAACTTAAAAGAATACGTGGAAATGTAAATACGTTTGAAAAATATAATAAATAATATTTTTTACATTGCTTGCAATTGCTGCAAGTATATAACGATATATGTACATATTCGTAAAATAAACCTATTTTAACGTTGTGTATATTTATTCATATTATTAAAAAAAAAACGAAATACGGAGACGATGTTCTTATATAAGTTATTTTACAGTTGACTATTTTTTATCAATAATGTAAGTAGTTATAGTTTGTGTAATATATTATATCTAATCAAGTATCTATTAGTGACCGTTACATTGAACACTTCCTGTGATGCTCTACTAACGTCTACTAATTCTGAATGTAGTATATGTAGATAACAATATGCAGACCCGGAAATGAATCATTAAACACGAGTGGGCCAGTAATAAATAATCCTGAACAACATAATCCTTTGTAGGAATGATTATTTGTTTGTAAGTGATAGTCTCTGAAACTACTAAATATTCTTTTAATATATAATAGTATTAGTAAACAGACCCTAAGTATTATTTAGGATATATTTATTAATTACAGCCGTTTTAAAATATCTAAAATAAAACTAGCAATCAATTTATAGTTTTTCGTAATTATAATAATTATGGCAAAAAACAATATAGATAATGCAATAAAATTAGAGAGAATTCAGAGATTATCAGACTCCAGAGTTGAAAACGCATGAAATGACACTATAGGTGTTATAGTATGTTTAAAAATATAAAAGGTGCTGTTCATGGTTGTAGAGGCCGATGTGATGAGATTACTAGGTACATACTGTCAGTGATATTAGTGATATATCAAAGTTCACCACATCCAATAACCTGTATAAAAATAAAGCGCTTAACATCACCAGATGCCGTTGAGAGTATTTTCCTATTATGATTAAAGTACCTACCTTCTATCGTACAACTTTTTAATTGCCATTGCTATTAACGTTCCAACGAACCCATTAACCTATAGCCGAATTCAGTTAACCATACAAGTAATAATTTTATTTAAATTATTAAACTTTAATCCTACTATGTTGCATTATAATGACATATAGTCCAAATTCATTGGTAATGGTATTCATTACGTACACCGGAACTCGAGTACAGAATAAATTTATAGAGTTATTGAAATTCATTTGAGCACCAAGTGACTTGAGCATTACCGAGCTATATAAATAAAAATCAATTGACGAATGTATGTGTAATATGTATATATATTCTATGCGAAATACGTTCATAAGTCTAAATTAACCTAAATTAACAACCAAGCTTTGACAAAATTAAAGAAAATATTTGTACAATTGCTTGCTACTTAAGTATTTTTGTAATGTGGACAATATTTATAGGAATAACACGTTATTGTGTGCAGATTACAAACAAGAATAATAAAAGTACATTAAAAAATGTATGACAAAAGCAATATTTTACAGACAACGTCAATAGTATTGACAGTGTATTAACATACATAGAGAGAGAAGGTAGGAGGCGCACACTAGATCGTATTAAGAAAAAATGCTGAATGATCATTACTAATAAATAATAACGTAAATAATAATTAATATTTTAGACTTATCTAAATCATATATGTATATATATATATATGCACTTAATTATAATACTAGAAAATAACCGGATCGTTTTGTTAATAATCTATGTACGTTCCCGATTTATAATTATGTTTAGTTTTGAAAGGTGCAAATAATAATTTAAATATAACAATTTAAATTGACATCAGTTGGTTGTCAGATATGCCTATATGAAATTAAAAATTATATAAATCCATTAAGTAATTAAAAATAATGTTTTTAAACAAAAAACGTAATACCACATTATGTGATAAATTATAACATTTCGTTCCATGTCATTCTGTAAAAGCATCAACTTCATAATGCCTGCACTTATTTGGCAATTTTTTTTATTACCTTTATAATTATCTTTGTTAATAAATCTCCAACTGACATAATTAACAACCTAATATTCAGTAGTAATTGAAATAAAAAGTTAATTTTCTTTATTATTGCACCCATACGAAACCGGTGCGGCGCGGCGGCGCGGCGGAAGCTAGTTTTAATTACAGAAACGTCTACTGCGCGTGCGTCGTCCTGTTTGGTTCAAATTCAGTCTGTTGCGAACAGTACTATATGCATTAAATTGTTTGTTATCTATGTAAATGATAAAAAACGTTACGAAATAGACATACATAGTTATTTTCCAACTATTGATAAGTAATTGGAATGGTACAGCTATAAATAAGTAGATATATAAATTGTTTATGAGTAATATTTATCCTATATGTAACTGACTATGAGTATTGTGACCACATATTTATATCTATATAAGATAGTGACTATATCTGACTCATTCGTAGATTAATTCATTTGTTACTGAATCGTGTTTTAAAGATCAGTCATAGTAAATGACTGATCTTTAAAACATGATTCAAGTAAGGGTTGTAAGCTGTGTTTTGGATAAACGATGAGATAAGGCAGTGGAACTACTGGATAAGAAGCGCAATATCTTAGTCATCTGAGGCATACTCATGCCTCAGATTCCTGTCATGCCAAGTATCACGGTCATGTGATAACGTGATGTTCTTAATGCCGTTCATGATTATAGACGACGGCGACGTCTTTCCATCAGGATGGCCGCAACTTATTTGAAATTCCAAATATTTATCCCCAAAATTTCTAACTAAATATTTTAGGCATAGGAATTAGGAATTACAAATTCTAACAAAAACATCACCCACAGTCAAACAGCATAGTATGTAGATATTAGGCACAGATGTCTCGTGTATTTTCTTTCATGAGGACAATCGTTGTAAAACACTCTATATATATACCTACTATATATATATATATATATATGTTACTTTTCGGTGCAACTAATCGATAGGCACAATAGTTATAAGTATAGACAGTAGTTGTAGTAGTAAATAATAGTTAATCCTCCTAATCAAACTTCAACACAAATAAATTAAAACAATTGTAGGTAGGGAGTTAATGTACGGAACTCTTAAATTACTTCTTGTGTTTAAAAATGCATCAGCTATCCTATTGTTTCTAACTCAATCCAACAATAACATAACGTTTCGTCTTGACAAAAATAGATATAAAATTAGGTGAAGCATAAAATCCATCGCCTGGTGAAATGTTTACATTAGACAACTTTTCGTCTCCCAACTCCAATAGCGTGTGTTAGTGTGTATCAAGAATATACATACAAAATGTATACTATCTTTCAGTCGCAAAGAAAAAGCCAAAAACTGCTGATGAAATTGGAAGTCTTTTACGATAAAACAGGAAAAGTGGAAATCGAATTTGAATTTTTGAAATGAATTTTCATGACGTAATTTATCACAAACATTATTGTCATTTCTCCACTTTGCTTATTTTGGGAAAATTATTCAATTTTCATGAATTCTATCACTGAAATATATACACAAAATGTGTAAATATTATATAGTAAAGAACCAGTAAAGTCATCGCTCAATTACAAACTCGTCTTTAGCCGGACCGTGTTCTGCATCATAGCACTTAATCAAAGGTTAATTATTTTTGGAGTCAATTTATAGCGTGATGCAACGTTACAAAGCATTTTATGGTGGATTTACAGCCACAAAACTATCCACGTCCGCCTCATAACGTTAGAACAGCTATAAATAATTAATTTACGATAGCTGAAGACGAGACATAAAAATATTTATTTTAATTATACCGAGAGAAATTAAGTACCTACCTACTCTTCTCTATGCTTCCAGTGACGCATCCCAATTACATCAGTGTTAGCTCAATTGTAAAATATAATAGGTATCCAAGTATACTACAAACATTACGTTGATGGTATATTTGATATACCTATATATTAGCCTTTGTCAAAGTTCGGTTACATTGAAGTATACCTATAAATATTGGACCATCTGTACTGTACGGTACTGTACTGTACGTAGGTACGTATAGTACAGTACCTACTACCCTTGTCCACATAATATTTGAGTCTAGTATATATATATTAACATAATAGGAATATATTGTTTATATCGCTTTGAAATAGATAATGTATCAGGTACTTATCGAACAGTAAAAGAATTTCTCAAAATACTGCAGTTGTTCTGAGGTTTACTTTCCGAATTACAAAATCCGCTGTCTCTCTATATGCATGAGTATATCTAGATTAAAATTATTATGTCTCAAAGTAAGTATGAGTTGCGTATAATACCTTGCATAAACGTAGGGCAAGCAGGTAAAAAGTTACTCAATATAATTGAGCACTGTTATATCTTTCTCAAACATTTATTCCAATTCTTCAAAACCTATTCTTTACCTCCGAAGGTAAAAAAAAAGGAGCGTCAAGCGTTCGTTCTAACGCACCTGCTGCTATAACGCATCCCACAGGTAACAAAATTTAACCGTTTTTTTATAAGATGAATTGATGTGATGATATTAGTCCAAAAATATAGCAATTAAACCAAATAAAATCTTACATAAAAATATTTTTAATTAAAGCTTCTATTAAATGAAAAAATAATGTAAAAATAATATCTATCTATCTATCTATTATGTATATATGTGACGACAATCGAATAACAAAAAATATATATAATTTGTTACGAATATTAAAAAAAATATAACTTACCAGTTCCAAAAATTTGACAATAGACAATCGGCTGATAGACATTGTGTTGTATTTTTAAATTCGAACACTCTATAAAGTTTTCTTCACACACGTGAAACGGGCGTATAGAACCAAGTTCACACTGAGACTGCGCGTGGACTTTCGATTTCGAGTCCAAGCAACAAACAAACTGCCGCCTCTGAGACGAAAACGCCGAACGATGAGATCATAGTTTGTTGTCATGTTTATTACAGTAAAGTAAGTAGATAATATAAAATGCTTGTCATATATTAGGTCATAAATCGAACTATAGGTGTCTTAACAAATGTATGACAGGTCAACATTACAACCACCTGTTACCGCTAATACCTAGTTTTTTTAATAGATAATAATAGCATGTAAGTAGTAAATAGCATGTATGTAGGTTTATGCTAATGGTGTACGTTGGTAGGATACTAGTGGAAGATGACAGTAGCAGAATGAATTCAGTCAGGCCAATTAGCCCATTATAACGAATTCTACGGAATTGATCACGGTTTTGGAGTTCGCCGTGTTGTACTATATGATGTTGACTTGCATTGTGAGAAAATTCGAGATACATATTCCATAAAAATGTACAAAGTACATTATTCATACGGCCAGTATTATATTATCAACATTCCTTTATAATATAGGTAGGCATCTATATTCCGGTCCATAGAACTAGAAGATTCACTCACATCATAAGTAATATATTTTCTACAACTTACTTACTACATAATCTTTTGGTAATATAGATTTTACGCAATAGAAAATATTCAATAGTATATTACAAGACACTAGAAAATTCAATTTACAAATTAATTTTTCCCAAAAATATGTATAAACAATTATTCGTAATGACCGGCACTATACTTTTAAAATTATTTCTGTTCCATAGTACATAATAATATATTAAAGGTAATGGTGATATTATTATTATTTGCTGATATTTTTATTTATTTTCAATTTATACATATACATTAATACGGAAGAAAAATTAAAATATTACTATTTTATATATATTAACTAAAACAAAAAAGCGATCTTATGGCCAAGCAATCTCTTCCAGACTACTTATGTAAGGTTCGAGAAAATGTAAAAATAAGAAAATACAAAAAGGTATACCTATATAGATATATATAATAAATATATACTAATAATACTAATTTCCAATCCCACGAAACAAATTCTTATAAAATTATGATTATACCAAAATAGCTAATAACAAACCACAATATAGAATATCAATACTTCATACTTCCCTTTAAGTTCGTCACCTTCATATATAATATTAGATACGTTTCTATCGGCCCACGTAATTATAGTAAGACTTATAATTAATAAAACAATATGCGTAGGACGAAAAGGGAACTCACCAATGTTATGACGTCATTATAATTACTAGGTGATCAGACTTAAGAAGACTCGTTCGCAGCCCACTAGTTACATTAGCATCTACAAATCGTTCTACATTGCATTTCTATCTCAGTCTGTTATTTTGACTAGTGTACCTAAAAGTAAACTATTTAGGTACACTAGTCTAATTAACAGACTACTACAAACTGGATGGTTAGATTGGGACTTTAGAATTTGCTAGCATGATGACTTTTCAGAAACTTAATACTATTATAAACTATCTAGGTATAGTAATATTACGAAGTTTGTAAGTTTTCGGTTAATCTCCAGTATTTCTTGATCTGATTTTGAAAATTCTTTGTGTTGCATATTCCATTTATATTTTAGAGTCGCAAGAAAATGGGCGAAACTGCGGCGGGTTATGCTAGTATACATAAAAGTCAATTTTGTTTATTAAAATGGTTTATTGAACTGGATATAAAATTGAATCGTAATACGATGTATTCTGCAGCGGCTGAACTTTGTCAACTTATTATTCACACTTACACAAATGTTACACATACAAATAGTGTTTTATTACCAATACATAGAAATACTCAAGCGTCATTTCTAAAGTTATTGTATAAGACTAGAAGAGGTCTTCTCTGGAGTCCAATCTCAATATGCTATAATAAAATATTAAACTGAATAAAATGATAATGAAGATATTCGTTAGATAATATAAGATATACACAACATTCTTTATTTTCCACATATTTGATATGTGGAAAATAATTAATGTTGTAGATATTTATAGAACCGTATGAGACAGTAAGAAGTAAATTTATATTTTATACAGTTCATTATACTATCCATGTATGGATAGTATGTATTATGTACATATTATATAAATAATTGTATCCAAAGACGAAACTAAACTGTGATGTTTAAATAAATTTTTATATATATTTTTTTAGAATTGTAGAAATTATATCTATACTTACTAATAGTATAAATTTAAAATATATGTTAGTTTCTCTTTTTATTAGATACTATTTCACGACTAAACGACTGAACCGATCTTGACGAAAGTTGGCTATATTAATTCAAAAAAAATCTGAATGTGGTTGTATTTTATAATTGGATGATTTCATAAATTCGAATGTTCGCTATTATATATAATTAGTAAAAAAAAAATTATTGGTTTGCTGGTAAACCACAAACAGGAAAATAAGAAATAAAATTAGAGGATGATTATGCGCAGAAAGTCACTAGTGACAATTAGCTTAATAATGAAATTTCTACGTATGCCGGATTCCTAATAACTAAATTCAAGGCTGCTTTATCCAATATCACTGCGCTATGGGCGATAAAAATAATCATTAAAGTTATTGATGTGACCTGCCGCACGATCATCCGGAAGACACTAAATCATAACCGTGGGAGGCCGAGAAATATCACTTATACTTACTGAGAGCTTACGTAGTTCACTAAAATATTTGTCCTTCGTAGTAGGTATACATGTATCAACAAATAGTATGCTTTAAATAACTTTGTAAGAAACACGTAACACTTAATTAACATGAGGCGATGACTCCATACTAAGAAACGTCTACATAGCAAGTTGGATACACCTAACTACTTTAAAATGATGTAACAAAAACAAGCCTGTTTAAATTTAGAAACTAATTATTAAGTGTTTTTAAAATTTTGCATTGCATTATCTGTACAATCTATACAGCGTTTTTATATATAAAAAAAATTACCTATTTTCGTCCTTGCCTTAAAAATTTAATTAATACACATATAGGTTCACATATCTTATCTCAATTTTAACTCTCCATTAAAATTTCTGTAACCATTTAATCGTGAAAGGTAATAAGTAGACAGACTTGTAGATTTGTACAATTTGTATACAAATCTGAACAAATTACAATAATACTATATAAAGACATAGTACTACGTATTTTGATCGGTTAAACTTGGACGTTTGTGTCTGTTTAAAAATTATTAATAAAATAATAATAATATTAAATATTATGTCATCTACTGTAGAATATAGGTAATATAATCATAGTATAATTGTATATATTTTTATTTTGTCAACAAAATGGCTGTTGTTTTATTATAACCCGCTTGATCTGGGTATATCATTATCAAATCAAACAGTATAGTTAGAGTATGGCAAATACAATAGGATAAGATGCAGAGATAAGATGTGTGCCGGCATTTTAAATTAAATGTGGCGCCACTAAAGAGGGGTGAATTGCCTTTCCTATCACCACGATAAGGGAATTAAATAAAACTGTACGACGATTAGAACTTGATAAATCATGAGTTATCAAATATTATACAAACATCACAGAAAAGTTCAGTTTTGTGAAATCTATTGGCATTTGGTGCTCTTTATGTGGATGGTTTCACAAGCACATCCAAATGGATTCATTTTATTCCCAAATGGACCCATATAATTTACATTAATATGGTAGTGTTTTAAGTTATCTTTAATAATGCGGTTGAAATTAATATTTTCACGGTACACGGTATATTATTCAAATTTATAGATATAGTAACATGAAAAAAACTAAATAATACTACTATTTAGGTAGTATTATTTAGATTTTTTTTTACGTTTCATGATTATTATTTACATAAGTAAATTACTTTACTTTTTATATTGTATTTTATTTTATATTGTACTTAAATGAAGGAAACACTAATTATTTTAATGTGGATTGGCGCCATCTACAAATTTCAGGAGTCATCAGAATGTGTAAAGCTCCAACAATCCCACATGTAACACTACACTTGTGATATTTGTTTTACAGTAAACCCAAAAGATGGCACTATTACAACTTAGTAGAACCAACAATATACACAGTAATATTATGGGTATATTTTGTAATATACCCGAATCTGAATTGATTCAGTTATAAGTATTATCATAATTTTTATTTTATTTCGTAGATATATAAATCATTTATGTACATGATTTATATATTTAAAATAATGCTATTTATTACCTTAGGCTCTCAATTTTGCCAAAATAAATATAAATACATGACGTAAAGGTATGATGATAGGTACCTAATACCACGGATAATATAATATTACACATACTAATCTAGAGGTGTTTAATGAATATTTACTTTACTTTAATGTGTTTTTTTAATTTATTATTATTCTTACTTTTTAAATTTACTATATTATTCCAAAAGTACTACAAACGTATAATAATTGGCGTTATGAAAATAGTTTGATTTTAAGATATTCATTTATATTAATGATTAATGGATATATATTTTAAATATTTCTTACGCGTAGGTACACAAAACTAATCATATTTCATAATTCATATTTCAGGACCAGTGGTTCTACTACAAAAACATCATTGACGGATTTTATATTGTGAAACCTTTCCGTTTATCGTTCATTATTCATAAATATCCACCAACTAATTTCGGATTTTTCCAGCGTACAGCACCTAATTGGGTAATTATATCAATATAAAGTGCAATCGTTTATATTGAATCAATTAGAAATCGACGGAGAGCGTGCTGGTCACTATCGTGATCTTTTCAACAGAATGAATAAAACAGGAAGTGCCCTATTTACCTATATTTTTTTATAATTTCACAGCAATGTACATAAATAAATATAATATATGTACTGAATCTAAACTGATATTACAAAACTTAAGAGATGACTCTCTAATATCAGGAATTTATGGTTTAAAATAAAATGAAAAAATCATAATTTTTGGATAGTCCATTTATTGAGGAAGGCTATTGTAAAAACGGGGTATCATGTGAAGGTAAAGCCACAGATAACATATGGTAAAGCTAAGCTAATCTATACATATAACAGACACTCCAATTGTATTTATACAAATGTATAAATACAAATGTACAAACAAACACTCCAAATTTATTTATATGTCTAAATATACATATAAATAAATTTGGAGTGTTTGTTTGTAACATTGAAATAACAGTTTTTTACTACATGCATATGAATATAAATACGGTACATACACCAAAATTTGTATCTAACAATTTTTGTCTGTCTGTCGGTTTGTTTATTCCGGCTAATCTCTGAAAAGGCTGGATCAATTTTGACGGGACTTTTTTTGATAGGTAGCTGATGTAATAAGGAGTAACTTAGGCTACTTTTAGTTTAGAAAAATGTAGTTATATTCTACGCGGACGAAGTCGCGGGAACAGCTGGTAAATTAATAATACTGTGATTATTTCGTATGTAATGTATTGAGATGAAAAATAAATTTGTATACTATTACCACAGATAATATTAGGTACATACTACATACATCTACTGTTATACCTAGGTATATAATAAATTATCTTTTCCCCACGAATATTCATGAGTGAAATCATTTACATTCCCTTTAAATGAGAATTTCCAAAATTTCTTTTTGGCGGACATTTAAGTAATAATCTCGATTCCAATTTATTAGACCTATTTTATTTATACTTTTGGTTATGCGTTGTACATCTGTTTTAATATTTTAGACTTAATATAATATTAAGTCTAAAAAATTGAAAACTGACTTTTGGTTATTCGTAGATATACATAGTTAATGAGAACAAACAAAATATGTAGTTAAAATACCAATCTGATATAGTTACTCGTAGTTATAATGACAGTGATAATTACTGACTGACTTGTACAACTTAGTATCAGCCTGACGACTGGTTTTCTACTGATGCATAGTCGATTTTTTTTGTAAATACATACAGAATATATATAAAAATAACTCCCAGCCCGATACAAACTATTATACTTACACAAATAAGAATACAAATGTTTGTACCATGCGAGGAAACGAACCTGTGACCATTGCAAGTAAGGCGGTGTATTAAACCGCTAGAGCACCGAGACTATATGTATATAAAACTGTTGTGTATATATTGGTTTTATCACAGTTTGCCTATTTACATTTTCTGTACTCCGCACTTACCTACCTACATAGAACATTTTATTATATATAATTCAATGGAAGGCAGGAGGCGTAGCTACTGGTAATTAACTGTATTGATGTATATAAAAATAATATATTATTTCCTATTAACATTAATCTTATTCTAGTACATTTAATTAGTAATGTTTAATCGATTATGAAAATTAATACCTAATAAATACCTTCATTTATTTAATTAGTTACTAACAATGATTAAATTCTTCAGATTATGTGCATCGCTCAATTCTATTACGTATACAAGTGCAGATTACTGTAGCTCTATGTTGGTGATTCTTTTTATCACGTTTTTAGTAAACTATACATGAAAATACGTGTATTTTTTTAGGCTTTATAAATGTATTTTTCGTCTGGCATTCTGTTACATTTTCACATTTTTATTTGTACCTCAATAATTTTTTTATATTAATTCGATCCGAATCAAATACTAAAGGACACGCAGAATTTAACTACTCTGCCAAATGTCTTACGTTAACATCATGATGTAAGATTTTATGATAATTTAGTTAAACTGTTCTATAATATGAGATCAACTATCATCCGATAGAAAATCTATGTTCTGCATAGGTGCTACCTGCCTTGGAACCGCTCGCGTCACATCGTAAGACACTATTTCCACCAAAGTAATCTTATATATAAAATTCTCGTGTCACAGTTTTCGTTCCCATACTCCTCCGAAACGGCTTAACCGATTCTCATGAAATTTTGTGAGCGTATTGAGTAGGTCTGAGAATCGGCCAACATCTATTTTTCATCCCCCTAAATGTTAGGGGTAGTCGACCCCTAAATTTTTTTATTTTATTTTAAGGCAAAACCACGTTTGCCGGGACAGCAAGTATACATGTATAGGAAACATTCATACTAATAATTTTATTCATATTGCGAAATATTTTATGACAATAGATATTTTTTATAGATATAATCACACTCACATAAAATTAAAACAACTGTTGTATCTGAGATATAGAGTACAAAAACTGATTTCTTTTTTCTTTTTATTAACCTTGGTATATTCCTTAAATCAACTCCATGAATGATAATAAACGTCTATATAGATTAGTAATGTAATCAGTGCTTTGAATATTTTTTGTATGCCCAATACATGTATAATTTTTTTTGTAGATTATTGGGTGTAAATATACAATCCGTAAATAGAATACAAGTCTGATATTACACGGTGTACATCTATAATACAAATATAAAAAAATACGGCTGTGCCTTCGCCATCAAGGTGTTTGTGCTACTGTAAAATTATACTGCAGTACTGTGATATACGTGCATACTAATTTACCACCACACGTAATTATTTTTAATAATCTTTAATGAATAAAATTACTTAGTATAACAGCATGTTTTTACTAGCATTCAGTTTTCTCAATCAACCACGCAATTTTCGGAGTATCACACGAATATGAAGCGTTATTGGTTAAGCGTATTCAATTATAATTTTATTAGTGTATTTATTATTGTAACGTTAATAGGGAAATGTGACAGTGTTTCTATTAATAAAACATTCATATCCGAGTTACTAAAGAATGAATTGCCAATTTTTAACTCTAATACTGTGCCAAATCTTAAAGGAATTACAAATGATTACTTCCGTGGATTGAAAAATGAGGATGTGAATTTGAATATTACACAGTTATTAACAAAATACGGGTATCCTGTTGAACAACATGAAGTGGTCACCAGTGATGGATACATACTCACTATGTTTCGGATTCCAAGCAACGGACCGCCGGTGTTCCTTATGCATGGATTACTGTGCAGTTCCGACGACTTCGTGACGGCTGGACCAAAGAGTGCGCTGGCCTATTTGCTAGCCGATGCCGGGTACGATGTCTGGTTGGGTAACGACCGTGGTAACAAGCACTCCAGACGTCACATCAGCTTGTCAACGAACGATAAAGAATTCTGGGACTTCAGTTGGGATGAAATCGGTCGCTTTGATCTGCCAGCTATGATTGATTACGTGTTAAAAATTACAGGTACAAATCAATTACAATACATTGGTCATTCACAGGGTACAACAGCTTTCTTTGTTCTGTGTTCAGAGCGACCGGAATACAATGAAAAAATAACTATAATGATAGCGTTGTCTGCAGTAGCATGGATGTCCCACACAACAAGTGCTCCCTTCAGATTAGTATCACCATTCACTCCAATTGTAGAAGACCTCACACGAGCGATAGGTCTTTATGAAGTTCTGCCAAGAAATAAACTTTTAGATATTGCAACTGACATTTCGTGTGGCACGCCTGTAACTGCTAAAATATTTTGTACCAATCTATTATTTATTGTTTATGGATTTGATTACGCTCAAGTAAACGCTACCAATTTGCCGGTAATTTACTCTCATTATCCATCTGGAGCTGCTACCAAACAATTTCTACATTACGCACAAGATATACAGTCCGGAATATTTCGCAGATATGACTATGGACCTAAATTGAATTTAGAAAAATATAATTCTATACAACCGCCAAGATATCCAGTGGAAAGGATAACAGCAAAAGTTGCCATCGCATACAGTGACAATGACGTGATTACAACTAAGCCTGATCTTGAAATTCTTGTGAGTAAATTGCCAAATGTGGTGGAACTATACAGGGTACCTTTTACAAAATTTTCCCACATGGACTTTATATATGCAAGAGATGTAAGAAAATTACTTTATTATCGTGTATTAGATTTATTACGTGAGTATGCACCAACAAATCCTTACACTGATATACCAAATTTCTGGGTCAATTTATAATTATTCTAAACTTGATATGTCCTGTACTGTCCTTTCTAAATAGAAGTCTTCTAATAATATAAATAGTAATATTTATATTTATGTTATATTAAATCGTTTTGTAAATACATGCACACATTTAACTTGGCCGTTTAAAATTATAAACACAGAATTTATAAATAATAATTTGAAATTGCAATTCACTATAATAATTTGCCATTTACAACATTTCTTTCTTTAAATAAAAGTATTTTCAACTTTGTTTATTACTTAGAACCTAATTACGTGTTATTATTTTATTATTAAATGATTAACAGTTCATACAATGTTACATTTATATTATAGATGATGCCTTTTTATACTTATTGAGAGCACTGAGATATCATGTCATAAATATTTGTGTTCTTGATCTCCAATAAACCAATTGACTCTTTTTCTATTTTTTTATAAAATAATAAAACACTACCTACCATCTCGCCTGTGTTCCATTAAATAGAGTAGTTCCATGGAATAGGTAGAGAAAATAAACCGCCTAATGCTTCGAATTAATACATACCACCATTTTTGGTACTTCGACATTCGTAGTTCATAAGATACCGATACTTTTTCTTTGGTCTTTATGCAAGAAATAAACAAAACAATTTGAAGTCACAAGGTTTACTCAATAATAATGAAATACTTGTCTAAAAAAATAATAATTTATAACTATTAATTACAACATTTATTTTTGTTCGGGTCGGCTTGGTCTTTATGTGCTGAACAAACGGCCAACAATGCATCTATGGCTAGCAGCGCAGCACACGCTAGTGAGCACACAGCCAAAGCTTGCGCGTGGTTGCGGCGGATGCAGTGTGGTATGTCGCGCCAGGAGTGAAGGGTGAGAGCGCCGCATGTGCCAAATAACAGGCTGCCCGCTGCCGACCACCACCCGTCGACATAAGCGTCTGCTGCTGCAGATACTGTCTCACCTGTAATGATATCACTTCATGTATTTTTGAGAAGAAAATGTCTAGCATTTCAAGGCCATCGTTAGAGTAATGCGTGTATTTATGCATTTAAAAAAATATTTTATGCACGGAACCATCAGTGCATGTGCAGTGCTATACTCGCACTTAACACTCTTTAAGACATAACTGATAAACACAAGTAATTACTGTACAATAAGTATTTCCTTTTGTATTAAGATAAACAGAAATATTTTATACCTAATAACAAAAATTACACACTTTATCCATTTGCTAGGCAGAGACCACAGAACGCCATTTATAGCTATTTCGATATTTCGTTTTAATATCCCTACAATATGTACCTACTAGTATATTATAACAACGTAATCAACTATGGTAACTTAATAAAAAACCGGAATTTTTATAATGAACCATGAAAGATACAAATAAAAATAATAATGATAACCCACAATAATTCACACAGCGCCATCTACTGTGCCTAACTAACAAAATACCAAACTAGGCAGAGCTTGTATTGAAATAAAGACAAACATTAAATGGTGGTTAACTACTAGACCAACGATTCCCTTCAAATACTTTTTATATTCAAAATATTAATCAATTCCTATAGTAACACAAAATATGATAGATATATAGATAATAGATAAATAATATGGGTAACATCTACTGACAACCAGAGAGCCAATTAAATATTTTAAGGGTTGAAGAATTGCACATGTTCCGAGTAAACAATAGATCCAAAATACAAAAAAATCACCTCAAATTACACGCTGGTTTCTTCATCGAACTCCTCAGAGTCTAAATACGCTAGACTCAAGTCAAATAGCATGATTAACGCGTTCAATATCGCCAGGGAGCCACAAAGCAGTGCCGCATTATAGTCTCCTGTTCTAGGATAACTGGACCCACGGATCCTTGAAGACAGCACCAAACCGCCACTTATAGCAAAAAACCCAGTTCCGAGAATACCGAAATACATGTCTTGCACGAGGTCGAGTGGTGAAAATATTATTTCTCCTAGAATTATTTTATTGTATTAACATTTGAGTTCTTGTAATATTGCCATAACTTTTATAAAATGGTTATTTTTAATAATACGATCACAAATATCTCTGAGAGATATTTGTGATCCCACAGAGATTTCGTTTGGATTTGGAAATGCGGCAAATTTGGTCTACTTGTTCCGAAGGTTTAGTGATTTATTAAGTTTCTGTATTTAAGTGTTTAAAAATGTAGTTTGCTAATGTGATACTTTACTATTGCCTATATTTATTTAAACAGTAAAAAAATCATTTTTAAAGCTGACGATGACGATAACACTTTATTATTGGGTTAGATTACTAAATACTTTTTCATTGTTTGGTCAAGGTCACTATTTTACGGGGACGAAGTCGCGGGAACAGCTAGTTTTTAAAAAATGTAGAGTAGAAAAATATTCAGCATCGAAATAGAAAAAATGGCGTTCTAAGATAGAAAATGGAATTAAATAACCTCTACCAATTTGAAATTTACCCAGGATCCCAATCGTAGATGTAGTATTAAACAAATGTAATGTATTTTCTATAATTTGTGTACATTATACTATTATCACAAATCAATTAAACAGACGTGACCTATATGTTGCAGTCAATTAATAGATAATGATGGCTCATGAACATTCTGCACAGCAGTCGATGGTATCTAACGTAGGCACATATCAAGCAATGATCTGTCTGTGTATAGTAGTGGACTGTACCACTGTATCCAATAAAATAATTAAATCGATGACGACGATGACGAATCTCACCAATAATTTCTCCCGAGAGAATAACAACGAATCCAATATAAGTACCGGAGCACAGCATCATTGTGGGTACATCGGTCAAGTCGTAACTATAGTGGTGAAGAGTGAGACACGCCACTGTTAACATCTGTAATTATTGTCCTCTCATAAATATGAGTCTTATGAAATACGCAACAAGATAGTGTTTCTTTTTTATTTTATTTATACAGGAAAGACGAGGTTAATGTTACTACTAATCAACCAAAAACGATTATACAAATAGTCTCTTCTAAAAATTTTGGTGAAAGTATTTCTTACTCTTTCCATTTAATTAAAACAATAAAGATATCATAGAACAAGTAGAGTTGTATGATGCACATTTATTTAAATATGCTTGTCGACTTTTTACACTGTCTACCTCAGGCAAATACATGTATTATGTGTATTCAAGTTAAACTTACTAATTCTGATAATTTAATTATGCAGGTCGGTATTAACATTTTAAGAATATATTTTATTTATAAATATATAAACTTATTGTAAAAATTTATAAAGTTAAATTAAATACTAGTATGATTCTTGTCAGTCATGACATTAGCAACAATGCAAGAGACATGACAGAGATGCAAAAAGTTTTTTCAAAATACAATGCTAAAGTGATGAAATATAAAGTTTTGACTACAACAGATTTGATACAAAATGTAATAAAGCACAAACTAGACAGTACAGATTTATACGTTTTATATAACTGCTGATAATACAATAAATTTTAATAATTATGTATCAAGAAATCAATCCAACGTAATTATGTCAAATCTGTTAAGAGAAAATTAATAATATAAAAACTTTGGTTTTAGATTACATTTCATAAAAACTGGACACACTTGAAGGAAAGAATATAATAGTATTATCTTAAAAAATGGTACACAGGAAGACTTTGTAAAAAGTTGTTTGCTTGGGTACTCAGTCTCCTACCTACAAGCAGCTTATTTTGTGTACTGACATTTGTAGTACGATGTTTGTATGATGGTATTGATGATATTGATGAGATTGGTGGTGTAGTGTTACATAAGATATTAGTCTTAGTTTTGCATAATAGCAACGCAAGTGTGGTATCATGAGTGTCACATGAACATAATATCCGTTGTGCTGTTCTTGTACACGACGATAGCGCTTACCAACATGTGGGCCGCCGGCTTGTTTGCCGTACCATTACATAAAAAAGAGATACGATAATTTGTAGTACCCACTATAATAAATATCAGTGTATATTATATTAATCAGAGTACGTAACTAAAGTATTTCAAACTTTTTCAATTTGTTAGAAAAGATAAGCAATATTTCCGAGTTATTTAAAAAATTAACATCATAATTTGAAACAAAGAAGTAACTTATTTCGCGATTCTTGAAAGTTCAAGGGGATATTGTGGTAGTTATTGCTTTTATTACATTTTTATTAATACAATATTGCACAATGGAATCGAACATTTGATAGGTACTTGTAGAAGAATAAAAATTGCGTAAGCAGTAATGAGCGACTTTATAAGTAAATTATATCTTACGAATTAAATAAAGCCAATACTTTTGATCTTGGAATATTATCTAGAAAATAATTTAAATATTAATCGTCAGCACTAATTTTTATTTTATCTTTATTGTAAATACCTCCCAATAATAAGAGTATCATAATATAACACTTAAATATTATCACTACATTAAAAATAGTTTATACAGTAAAAAGTATGTTACCTAGATCTCTCCAAATGGTTTACTTAAAACCAAAATGAGTTTTACCAAGATAGATCTCGTACAAAATAGTCTGTATCGGCACCTCTGTTTCACGTAGTTTAGCGGACTTATCCTTCTTATGTATTATTTAAAATTAAGAAAAGACGGCCTCGATGGTCTTGCGAGGTCGCGGGTTCGATTCCTCGCACGGCACATACATTTGCATACATGATTATTTGTATCGGGCTGGGTGTTTATTATGTATAATTTGTACCTATGTATTTATGAAAATAAATCTGTGTATTTGTGTCCGTTGTCTAGTACCCATAAAACAAGCTTTGGCTAGTTTAACTTGAGTCTAGATGGCGCTGTGTGAATTGTCCTGAGATTATTATTATTAAGAAAGTAAGTTTTAAATTTAGTAGTAGTTATCTTTGATAGTGAGATAAATTATATTTTTCAAGTCATTTTAAATACATACATATTGGTACATGCATAATTAAAAAGACTAACATTAGGTACGTCTGAATAATACTTTTATTTATATAGTCGAAGGTTCCTTTTTCAAATCGGTTAGTAATCTAAAATACTGTAAATAGGTATAATTTTTTCGTTGTTTTAATGCCATCAAAACTAATATTTTCTTCACAAAGTTATATCCGTTACGAGATGAAAGATTACATTTTTAATTTTCCATTCCACGGACAGATTAAATTTGACACCAAAAAGGTGTCCAGGGACCTCAATGTGATTACAATGTAGGTACATCAAGAATATATATACACTAGTTGTAACGCGCGGCTTTATTCAGATGGCATTAAAAAGTTACAAATTTCAAAAATCTTTTCTACTAAGGAGAAGCAGAATTGTTTCAGCTGAGTAATTACAGTTACTATAGATAAATGATTTCATAAATACCTTTAAATATTTATATCAAATACTCTATGTTGTCAATTTTAAAACTATTTCATACGTTGTCCATTTTGTAATAACTTTTTATCTGAAATATACAAAACAATTTGTACGAAATTTTATTATAAAGTACAAAACATTTTTAATTCTTTTTATATTACAGATAGTTAAATTTCCATGAACTAGTGACCTCATTGCCAACAATGTACCATGTTTTTTTTTACTCAGTCATCACAATTAGTTAATCATCACGATAAATTCCTATTGCTCATCACATCGTCCTTCACTGCATCTCCACCAGCATCAATTATTAGCACAGGCACTTTTTAATTAAAAAAACATCCACTAAAAATATCACATAAGTTTCATAGTATAGAAGTACACCATTATACAAGTTCGTTGACACATCTAAGAAAGAATGGTAACGAGTGAAGTTACGGGCATCCGTCGATAACTTTATCTGTTATGTGTCAATTTATTGGTTATAAGATATCCAAAATTCGATCAGGTAGTTTGTTTCTTCTTACTTAAAGACAGCAAAAATATATAGATCAGATATTGTATAAAAATTTACGGTCCAAATTATTGAAAATGGTAAGTAATAGAAATGAAAAGAAACCAAAAACAATGCCTAAAATTACTTTATTCTTCTTATTTTAAGGTTGATTGTACTTACTTAACCTTTACAGTTGGATTCTGTTAAAGATTTAAACTATATCGAGATGTTCGCTTCAGTTCGAGGCCGATCGTTATTATTGGCAACATTTGAAGGCGGGACTCGGAAAGATGTTGTAACCTAATACGGAATAAATATCAGGAAGCTCATTTTCTGAATATCAATGAAAACAACACACTTCAATTTATCATTGTTACCTAATATCGGCCGTGTCAGTAGAAGATTAACATTATTAAATTCTCTATCTGTTTCATTCATCTTTATTTACCAAATCTACTTCATATGACACGATCAATTCTTGTCTATTTATAGAAAACTAGCCGTTACCCGCGCCATTGTCTGTTTTTTTAGATAAAAGATAGCCTATATCCGTTCCCTTGATACTATGTATGTTCCCGTGAAATTTAGTTAAGATTCATTCACCAGTATAAAGTGAATAAGTAACAAACAGCCTGACAGGCAGATTCTTTCGCATTCGTATTATTAATATGGAATAATATAAAATATACCTATACAACATCTTGGGTACGGCTGTAAGTAATTCTATGAAAAAAATATACCTCGACAACATTTTGCTTTTAAGGTGATCCATATCTCATTATCTTTTTTATCAAAAGAATTTAGTTGCACAATTTCTTATTTCCGGTTTTAATACTTTTTGTCAAATAATATTAATAGAAAATATAGGTCAATCACTCGATACATCATTTTCTAGGTGTCGATTCGTGTGAGTACACAGACGTATTACCGATGATCGCTGGTTCATTCTTCAGTAAGTTTGATTATATTTATTGAGTTTTATTGGTATTAATTTTATATCTATTTCATTATTCAAACATTATGTATATATTTACAAAAAATGTTTCATTAACGAGTTGTTCTAGGTAGAGGAACTGCAGCATATTGGGGATAACTGCAGGTATCTTGGAATACTTCCATATCGAATCAATATAAACGCTATCTGTGTTTTTTGAAGAAACCATAACACCATTCAATACACACCGATTATTAAAATCAGGACACCATTTTAACATTTCGGCTACCAGCCCATAAGGAACGAAACGCCTGTTTTGAAAATTTTTTCGGTTAGAATGCAATCCGTTGTAATAATTTACTGTAATACTTTAAATCGTTATTGTAATTATTTAAAAAGTAGGTTGACCTTGTTAGTTTAAGATGTTACAATGAATATTTGTGAATATTTCTAGAATTAAAATGTTATATGGATTTTTAGGATAAATTGGTGTGTTGTTAATTTGGAATATTCCATTTTTTGTATATTTTTATAAGTAGTAGTAACAATATTTTTTAGAAATGACAGCATCTCATATTAGTAGAGAAAGAGGTGGGGAAAGGAGGAAATAGCGACATCACGAAATTTTGACCACAAACAACAGGAACTATTCAAGCACGAGCTAATGGTATTACTAAAGAAAGTATGGACGATTTTTACGATAATCTTGAAAAAGTTCAAGCTGATAAATCCTTCCCTTCTGCGCGCATATTTAACGTTAATGAGAGTGGTCTATCCATAGTCCAGTGTAAAATATAGAGTCAAACATAGTTTTTAGAGTTTTCTAGTTGCATAGGCATTTTTATAAAGATTCTGGTTTTTGTTATATTTGATTGGTCTCCTTATCAAAGTTTAATACTTTGACAATAATTAAATGTAGTTTGTATTTTTTTTTTTTTTAAAAAAAAAGTTTGTACTTACCCATCCCGTTCCACTTTCAATTTATTCTCAAAAATCAAACTAGTATTCCAAATATGCTGCAGTTCCTCTACCACCTAATGTATGTAATGCCTAAGTAGCTCTGCTAAGTTTTGGAATATGTGAATTATCCTATGTTATTATTATTTACTACTATATTTGATATATTCCATATTGAACAACCCGTAACTATTACCTTATTTGCAAGAAATTACATGCTATTTACATCCCCGCATTAGTAGATGTGGATAACTAGCTACTCGTGTTATTGAACATTTGTTATTAGCGATTAGCCACACCTATCATTTACAAACTCAATTTGTTGATGGCGCAAATGAAGCCATCTCCAAATAAATTAGTCTAACATTCGTATTAATAGCAATTTTTAGTATACTAAAATATGTTCCATATTTTTATAACCTTTGATACAAAACACATATCCTTTGTTGTCTAATAATAACATTTCTAAAATTTTGTGTTTAAAGAAAAATGTTTAAACGTTCTGTTAATATATCTCAAACTCTTTTCTATTTTATTTTCCTCACTTTCTCTTTATTTTTTACAAATATCTATTAAAAAATTCACGCTAAAATAATGTTTGAAAATATTTTATGACCAATACATAATCACAAATTAAACTGACAGTTTGAATAAAATATAATACATTAAAAAACTATATGTAAAATAATAATATTAAAATTTTACATAATTAATGCAATGAAAATGCAGAGACGTTAATAACAAATAATGCTTATTTTTGGAACAATTATCTTTAAATAAATGAGTTTGATTAAACAACGAATCTGAAGCGATCCGGAATCAGTCAGGGACATGAACCCTGCAGTGACAATGTAATTCGAAGGAAAATCATGGAACATATATTTAAATATCATATGTATATATATTATAAAAATAAATTAAATAAAAAAGTAAATAAATTAATAAAATTTTAGTTGTTTTAGTAATTAGCTTATTACATATAAAAAAAAAACACTATCTTCTACACATTATTCAACCATACCTTTTGTTTTAAACGCTATGCCCTGTCTTTTGTTAAACCTGTTCTCTAGAAAATAAAATGTAGAAAGGAACTTTAAAACTCTAAATAAATTAGTTTATTTTAATAATACAACATATAGAAATGTGCCCGCTTAATATATCTGTCCAAAACATTTTACACAACTTTTCTTCAAAGTCACCAAGTTCAGACGTCGCTCTTATCATGCTTTAAAAAGTTGTGAGATTTAATCATGTAGAGATTCATCATAGTAATCTTAGTGTGTACTTGTATTATAATACATTTATAATGGGAAATATGTAATGTTCATTACATCAAGAGGGAACCAAACGGAACGAAAAGAAAACTAAGTCAGTTTTCGATATTACTTATTGCAAAAATAATTACTTTGTAATTTTTGTTAAAAAAAAGTCTCGTTTTAAATAAAAAGATTATTGACAATCTAATTCGTTGCAATTTGACATTTTATACCACACGATCTTGTGTGACTATACGACTCCTATCATAATACCTACTCTATGTTCGATACAGGAAAGAGCACGACATCACCTAATTAGTCATGCCTACAAAATATTCTGTCTCGGGAGTTATATGTATGTATGAATAAGTTACCTTTTATAAATAAATAAAAAAAGTAATTCGTATCTATTCAAAACTTAACATATAATCTTTATTTAAGGATATGGGCTATATCTGTTGTTTTTCTCTATACATCCTACGTAGTTATTGTCATTATGTCAGAGTAAAAGTTAATAATGAGTCTGCAGTCCCGAAATTAAAAGTTTTAAATAAGGTCTGACTAAAGAATATAAATATATTTTCAATAAAACAATGTTTGATACATGGTACTGGTGAGCTACTGGGAGTAATATAACTTAATTACTTCAAATTATTAAATGAGAGGAAAACTAAATTAACAAAGTACAAAGTTCGAACTACCGATTTGTCAACCACGTAGCGTGAAGTGAACCTACATTCTAAAATTTTATTAATGTTGAAGTGGTCATTAAACGTTATTTGTTCCTAAACGCACTAAAATATTTTGTTACATTGCTGTAACGACTTGAGATTACCAATTTCATAGAAAACTTCACTTCCGCAATAACCCAACCCGAAATTATTTTCAAATTAATTTTAATTAGTATTAACAACGTTAAATAGGTATGCTAAAAAACTTTAGCAACACGTTCCAAATATAAGTAATAACAAAATAAATAGAACTATTTATTTTGTACGATAAAATTGAACCAGTAATAATTTCAATAATTGTGAATTAATTCTATTAATTATTTCTATGAAATCACGTACCTACTCGCACAAGATTTTTTGGTATATTTATTGACTTTTAAATATAATGTTTTGTATATTATTTCAAGAAGATATTGTTTATTATAACTTTAAACCTAATCTCCGTAATACACTAAGATATGCTGTAACCATTTGCTTGTAATCTGTGTCTTCACTTTAATGGATAATTTAATACTCATCGCTTAGCTACTTTTATAACACTATAACTCTAAAATCTCAAAAGTACAGAACACTATAAAATTTCGCACATTTTGTTCATAGAAGAATATCTGAAGGTTATACCTATCATATTTTTAGTTAAAAAAATTTACAATCACTCTTTCTAATTATTATATTTGATAATAATAATAATAGTATATATTATTATTAATATACTAATAGTCTCAAACTCATCAGATCAATCTGATTTTTGTTTTGTCAATATACCTACATAGAAAACACACACACCAATACAAACAATCATACTCTTGAATACAAATGCGCGCGGAATCGAACGCGCTACCATTAGTGGAAAAGCGGTGTGCTAAACCGTTAGACCCTCAGTAGATAGATGCTGAGGTACTCACTACAATATTGAAGGAAGTAATTTTCCAATTTGTAAACTCTGTGAAAGTTATCTTTTCATTTATTAAGCCGAACAGTAAAATATTTTCATTATTCTATTTTCTCAGATCCGCAACATTCTGGTCTATTCGACAGGTAAAGAGAGATTCCCTGGCTTTCAAACTATAAAAAAATATTCAGCTTTTATGTTCTTAAGCACGTTCATATTAAGGTATATTGTTCACACGTAAAACAAGTCATAACACTTGTAATAACAATTACCTACTTCATGAACAAGACGAGTACATTAAACCTTGAAAGGCTAATGAGCTATCAAAGTTCTAGGTTAAAATCTTGTCTCCAAAATTCTGGTGATTTTAAAGTTATTAAAAAGTTTTTAACAAATATTGTCATAGTATACGCCTGAATGTATTTATTGACTTCTGTCTATTATTATGTTCTACTATACTATACTATTAGTACTGACATTCATACTATATCGCCACGACATTTATTCCAAACGGGTAAGTCAGAGGTATTATCTACTGTCGATGTCATTGGGATCAAAATACTTGCAGATGGCCACATTTCGCTGGGTACCTATATTCGAATCCAACATACCCGCACCGTCTAACAGATTAATTTTAGGTTTGATGTCTGATTTGACTTTTCTGAAATATAAATTAACACAATATTTTAGTTACCCAGATTTTATCTCACGAGGTTTTAGGTGCAAGCCGGTATTCCAACTAGTAAACTACTAGGCAACGAAGCTTTCATTGAAAATTATAATTAAGTATTTTACAATTTGAAAACATGCCTGTAAAACAAACTGTTCGTCTTTAGGTACCTAAATCTGTACATTAGACTAATTTGCAACATGTCTACCGTATTCTAATGTATCATCTCCTAAAACAGTCACAAAACGACCGCAGCCAAACTTGCCTATTCACTTAATTCAAAACTGTGAATATATTATATCTCATAGAACCTTTGAGATCTATTCGAAACCAATGTTGGGATAGTTTGCCCTCTAATTTCAATTTCAATTATTGTATTCGGTAATGTTTAAATGTGTGTTACATTCAGGTAATTTATTTATGTTATTTTTTTACAGGAAATTTTATTATATTCCCTAATATTAAATTACAATAAAAAAATCAAAAGTTTATTATGTAGTCAACTACTACTATCTAACTTAATACTATCAACTTAATACTATTTAACGTAATATATTTCGACTAGTTCTATCCCGTATCTATCAACTGATCGTAACATTTGAGTTAAACAAATACATTATAAATACATATATACCTAACAATCCTTTAAACGTGCAGATTAAACAATCAATAGGTAATACAATCTTTTGTTCCTTATCCAGGAACCGAAGAAAGAGAAGCCATACAAGCAGTAAACAGCCAGTTGGCGGTGTTAAGTCTTCACAAAGTTAACTGTTAACTAATATGCATTGGTAACAGTTACTTTGATGGAACTGTTTAGAGAACTTTGTATGTACGTACTACGTGGTAAAGTAACTAGGTAATACCTGTTTGTAACAATGTACTCATAAGTATCACTATGTAATATTTTATAATATTACTTAGTACTAAAAATAGGAAATATTGACATGTCAAATCATGGATAATGTTATCTATGTTTTCTGGTCCACTATTGGACAATGATCAAAACTATATCCTTTCAATTATTGTAACCAAATTTTATAATCCAAATCAATTAATATAATAGTGGACCAGAAAAGATAGAAATATATAACATTATCCATAAAAAAATATAAATATAGTATAAGTATCTATATGCATATTCCTGCATTTTGAAATGCTATTTTGTACATGTTGTAATATTAATCTAGAAAATATTTAACCTTTTCCAAACCACGGAGTACCTAAACATTCCCGTAGTTTTATATAAAAAGCAACTAACCAAATATTGATAATACATATAATCAATGTTGTTATTTTTTTCAAACAAATGTTCAAATGTCTTTGGTTTTTGTTTAAATAATTAATTTTCATAATCTTAATACTAATAACATGTTCTACGGAAAAAATGATAAAGAAAAATTTATTAGCAAAGGGAATTTCAGGTTAACGAAACCTCGAGGCGTGGATCGAGTAAAGCTCGGATTCACCGATATCTGCAGAACACGCACAAGGTGAAGCAACCGAGAAAGGGCAAAACGGAGCAATATAAAACGGGGCACATCCTCGCTAACTTTATTCAGTAAGCCGCCAAACATAGAGTGCCAGTTTAATTAATATAAAATATCACAAAAAACCGCTATTATGTACTCTCTGGTGAGTAGTCTAATCTTATTAGCAACAAATGTTCCTGATATGGTAAAGCTTCGTTCATGCAGTAATGTTGGTATTCACCATAGATTACACTGCAAAATAGATTCAAATTACATAGAAGCCAAATAACAATCGTGACTGCCTCACACTACACCCAGTATTTTGGTGGTAGTGCATCGAATTTCCGACATTTCGCTCAAACACAGAAATGTAGCTCATATATCGTTACTCATTTGGTAGCATTATAATTTAATCATGTTACTGCTATTCAATTCGATGTAAAATGTACACGCCTAACCTGACATCGACAGAATGTAATGTACAGATCGTATTCTAAAATAATATTATATTTATCCGTAATAGCTTTCTCTTGTATTCACTTAACTCATGTATTACTGACGATCAATAAGTTTCTTGTAACTAAATAAATCATTAAGTTCAATTATTGATAGAAAATTTAGAAGGATATCTTAATATTTTTTAGTAATATAATTTGTTACTATGTTATTTAAGAATTGTTTTAAATGTCTGTTAAATTTAATGAATTTTACTAAAATGATGAAACAGCTTACGTGAAGCATAAGCCTCCAGAAAGTCGCGCTGGCTAGATCGCGCTGTGTGCATTGTCAATATTATTATTCACCGAACATTAATTACAGTGGCCCTTATAACACTTATAATAATCCACCAAAATGACAAATTCTTAATGTATATTTTTTTAGTTTGCCTTAACAACGACACTCATAGCTGTTGTGTCTTGCGGACGTTTGGAGCCCCAATACTTGCCTCCTAGACCTGGTAGCTCAGGAGGTGGCGGAGCGGGCAATGGGGGGTATAGCGGAGGGGGTGGCGGTTCAGGGAGCGGATTTGGCGGATCCGGAGGTACTGGGGGCGCGAATATACCCATCACTAAATACGAGAATGTGAACAATGGCGACGGCACTTATCACTTCAGGTAAGCTATTCCAATTGTCCTCTTATGTTTTTATATCACAATAACGTAGAGAATGTATAGTCGGAATTCCGTACGCATTTATTTGTCTAGGTATACCAATACAATAAAAGCTTTTGTGATAGATATTAATATATATATTTTTTTTTAATTTAAGCTAGATTTTTGGGTTGTAACAATATATGGAATAAAGTTAAGCTTCTGTTCTAATCACTTTCGATCTATTCGAATCTTAAGTAAATTATCTAGCATAGAATAAATAATTTCAATAATCCAATAAAAATAAAGCAAAATAGTCGAATAAATAGTAATACTTTTCTCTGATAAAAATAAAAGAAATATTAGATTAAAAAAATCACCTTTTGCAGTCACGATAAAATAGCATTACACAAGTATGTTTCTTGAATAAAAAAATATTACAGCTATGAGACCGGCAACGGCATAGAAGCTCACGAAAGCGGCGCTCCTCGCGCCCCGGGACCTGAAGGCCCCGCTGTAACAGCTGAGGGTGGGTTCTCTTACCGTGCTCCTGATGGACAACAGATTACTCTCACATACACAGCAGATGAAAATGGATTCCATCCCGTTGGACCTCATCTGCCTACTCCACCCCCCATTCCGGAGGAGATTCTTCGATCTATTGAATTCAATAAACAGAATCCGTCATCGTAAGTATATTTTAAATTTAAATCATATTATTGATTGTTCTGATAAATAGGTAATGAGATGGACTTTGTACGAAGTCGTTAATACATACATAATGTACATAAAAAACAAAAAAGAATGTATCATGGTGAATGGTACAAATGTTTGCATTGTACGAGAAATCGAACTCTCGACCAGCGCAAGTCAAGCGGTGTGCCACCAACGGCGCCGTCTATAGGGGTATAGTAAGAAGGGTACCACAGATGCCACTTAACGATGCTTTCTTTCACTTTAACTCACTTTTTAATGTGTATGTAGGTATAAATTACACAAGGGTCTCTCAATAATCACTAAGTCAAAATGAAGTAATTAATATTATCTATGGCACTTATTAAATAAACATTTCCTTACCAGAAATGGCACATTGACATATAGGTTCGCTACCCCTGATATGATTCCTCTACACATATGTTTGTCATCTGACAACTCCTCCTAACGGCTGGAATTTAGATGACATCTTGTCTGCACAATTAGAATCAGTATAGATCATTTCTTTACACGGCACGTTACGTTTGCACGTTAGTGCGTAAAGGTCCGCCACTCTTTTCATATTTATAGTATATACTATATCTATTCTTATTATTACAGAGAGGGAGCCTATAATGGTGGGTCTGGAGGCAACAGCGCAGGGGGATCTGGTGGCGCTGGTGGCTACCACTACTAATCTCAAACTAAACATACATATTTAGCTAAAAATCACACCCAATCTAATGAAATTATATATTGCAAATTATAGATTTGATACCTTTTGTTATGTTTACCTTAAATTCCAATGATCTCAAATAACATGATTTTGGTTTATGATTTATTATTTTATGTAGCCTTTTTTTAAAGTTACAAGCAAAGAAATATTCTTAGTTATAAACATGTAAAAGTAAAGGTGAGTTTTAACAGATTTATAGTTCTGAAAAAGTTCCCGATTGGATAGTGTTCCTCAGGGATTCGTACTTCATATAAACTCAAGTAGTTATACCATATATTGCATGTGTGTGTGAAGTGAACTTTTATTAATGTTTGATTATTTTTGTTATTGTTAGATGAATAAATATGCACTTTGTATTTATATATTAGTATAGTTGTATGTCGAAATTCTACGATTATTTTTTAGGCAATTATTGTATTTAGTAAATAGACTGTGATTTTTAGCCTAAATATGTTTTCTCCGATGACTGCATCACCTCTCGATAATAGGACTGTGATATCATGGCTGAAATGAGGAAGAATTAATTTATTAAAATAATGAATGCAATGTAAATAATGCACATAAATATAATCATATAATAAACATATTGTAATGATGATAACTTTAATTATGTTCTATGTTTTATTTAAACACCAGTTATTTTTAAACACAATAATTAGATAACAAATAGTATTAATAATACAATCTACTAAATAGTTAATATAATAAATAAATTATTAATTTGATGTTTACATATTGACGATAATTTTAAGCTGTTACCACTTTGCTAACGTACTGGCAGCAAGTAGTGAAGTATATTTAGCGAACAATGGATAGTCTTAATAAATACATGAAGCAAAAACTTTGTAGCCTTTTTTATGAAAATTATACAGACTGTGCAGAATGCTCCAGAAGTGCCACTGGGCGACCACTAGCTACATATACTACACTGTTATCAGTGACTGCTATTCTTGGATACCAATATGTGAATAAAATTGTGTGAATCACTCGTTCTATCAAAACTTAATTATACTGATACGGTTTTTGGAGAATGCTTACTAACCCGCACAAAAAAAATTATACAGCGTATTCAAAATGCGTGCATTCGATTTTGTTTTCCAGTTCCTCGATACTCACACATCACCCCTTTTTTAAATTCCAATAAAATGTTAAATATGAATGCCCGACGAACCTTGCATTTCGCTTCGTTGCTCTTTGGAATCATACATAAAAAACAACCATCATACTTATTCAGTAAACTTCAGTTTAGTCAACGACTGCCAAGACTTGCATCTCTTTTAATATATCCGCAGTACAGTACGGCGGCATTTCGTGGCAGCTTTCGCTACGCTGCCACGAAATGTTGGAACAATCTACCGCCTCCAATTAAAAATTCAAAATCTGTATCTACATTTAAACAAAAACTTAAGAAATTTCTATTAGAAAATCAAATTTCCACTGTATGACTGTCCGCACTGTATATGTATTTTTTACCGTTTTATGTGTGTATTTTCATTTCCATACATTATCATAGCATAGACTTACACCTTATCAAAAGCACCAACAGCGCACGTTCACGCAGGCAACAGTAGGTACACAAATTTTATATTTTAAATTATTTTCTACAAGGTTCCACTGAAAATCAGCGTTTGGGCATTACAGCCCAGACACAAAGCTGAGTGGAAACCAATTTGGTCGCAGCTGTATTTTTAAAATAATTTGTTATAATTTTTGTAAAATATTGTATGATTGTTTTGTATGCGCCAAATAAATATATTTTTCTTTCTTTCTTTCTTTCTTTCTTAATATCAGTCACTGATAACAGTGTAGTATATGTAGCTAGTGTATAGAGCTAGCTAGCTAGGTCACTAATATCTACTACTCACAAAATTAAACAATTTAATAGAGAATCAAATGAACTAAAAATAATTTTTAAACTTTTCATGTAAACTTCATAGTCAAATAATGTAATCAACTTATAGTAAAATATTCAAAAATTCTCGTAATCCTGTGAATATATATTTTTTTTTGTGTACACATTACAGAAAAGGCGTATGAAACATAGTAATTGTGCCATTACGACAATTAAATCACATTATTTTAGAAATAATATAATTTCACCTGCATTATACCTAAATTACTACCTAATCTTGCAATCTCGATTAACTCGCAGTCAAACATTTTTATTAATTTACTAGTAAATAAATTGCAATACGTTAGAACAATTGTTAAAAAATTTGCTGTTCCTCTCGAGTACCAAACTATAAGGAACTGGCTCAAGCAAGACCGTCGGTGTAATTTCTCACATTCATTTTAAGTCTTGTGTTTTATAATTCAGAATTTTAATTTTAACCAAGATAATAAATAGGCAGCACATAATTATTGTTGTTTTTTCTGGATTTCTTTAAAATTTTTCAACACCTGCCGGACCTCAGCTAAAAATTCTTGCCGACCATTGATCTAGATGATAACATGCGACTAACTTAGGGACTGAGAGTACTGAACAAGCCCATCTAATAAAAATCGTTACCCATAAACGATGGACTATGATCATTACCTAACACTGTGTATCAACAGCACCCCTTGTACTTTATTTTTTGTGTTACTACTAATTTATTGAATACATAAGTTGAAGCACCATACGAAAACCAAGTATGGAGATCATAACAAAATCCGAATAATTACAAACATATATATGAAAAACATTTCTTTTAGGGGAACCAACATACAAAGTGAAAATAATAAAGAAAGGTTTTGTATTTAGTATTGTGATTAAAAGACTATTAGATAGTCGGTTACTATTATATTTAAATAAATAATTTATATATACATTACATTACTGCAAGATATGATGTTTCTATTTAGATAGAAATCAAAAATTAATTTAAAAACTACACCACAAAATGTTAGTTGATCAAAACACATTTTCAAAAAAGGTATAATAATAAACAAATCTTTTTTTCCAATTTCTTAAGTTTATATAGAAATATTATTAAGATTATTATTTGCGATATAACATTTACTATCAAGTGACTTCCTTTATTTAAATAATACAAGCTCTCTATTACTTTCTCGAAAATTGTGAGACCAGATAATCAGGTAAGGATAGTAGTAGTATTTTATATTCACAACTTTTAGAGTTGATTTAGTTAATACAAGAAATTATAGCCTGCTTGACCTGATCATAAATAATTACGCTATGTTAGTACTGAATAATATACCTGCCAAATAGTAAAGGATTTTCTAAATTAGTAGAGTGATTCCAGTGTTTATATTCGTTTACAATTCGAATATGTATATGTAAGTCGTGTAGTTACGAAGTAGATACTATGCAGAAAATAAACTATTATACAAACAAAAACACAGATATAAACATACACACATTCAATATAATAAAATAACATCTTAAGATAGAAGAGATATATGTTTGTATATTTACGCTCACTTTCGAATGATTGTGTTAAAAAAAGGGAGTGATTAAATTAAATTACCTAAAATACAGATTTATACCTTGTTTACACAAGAAACAATGTATAATGTGCAAATAATTGTAAATACATATTAAATAAAAACAGAATTACTGTAATAAATTGTTCCTTTTTAAGTTTGGGCTTATTAGATTTGTCTCGAAATTACTTCCCTGATAAATGTACATCATATAGGATCTCAAGGGTTGAAAACCCTCATTTTAAGAATCCTAGAAATTTCAAATAAGTCGTCAATGAAAATTTCCTAGTCCGTTAACTGATGCGCTGAGAACTATTTGTTAAACTAAATTATGATTCGTTTACAGCGAGCTTTTCAATCTCAATCAGTATTTCAGTAATAAATAATATGCAATTCCTTCATTTTCGATTAATTTATCCTTGTCTAATATTATGGATTTATTTCTTAATGATTCGTATCTTTTGTCACTATGTTTCTAAATATCTATATACAAATGACGTCATTTCAATAATTTTTATGCACTACTTTATGAATAGATAGGTATAGCAGAAAGTAAAGAACTATTTTTATTAAAAATATTTCTTACATATTCGCAACACCGTATCAGATTCACTAGTCGTAAACTTTATACAGAACACAAACAATCAGCAATCGTGATCGATATATTATTACCATGAAACATCTATGACTATGACATTGACAGGATTACACTTTAGGTTATCTCAGAAGGTGAGTGTTGCCAAATATAATACGGCGCACGGTATACAATAATCATCGAAACGGCAGGGGGTGGTCCCAACGGAATGCTATCCGAATACTCCTAGCACTCTTCAAATTATCGGCCACTGGCACCGCCCTGACTTATTTAGAGCAAGGTGATGGTGGAAGGGCAGACAACACTAATATAAAAAGATTGCAAACGAAACAGACATCATTCTTTACAGCATTGTTCTGCATATAGTACCTACTTGTACCACACTCAACTTTACGAAGCTCTGAAAATGTGTTCTTTCAAGGTATATAAAGTTACTTATATTTTATTAATATATTTTTGAGCGATGTGAATAAAAAATAAAATAGTTCATATGAAAATCTTCTTCTCAACCGATTTTAAAAGAGGCAATTTCTACAAGTTCAAGTTAAGATCTTGTTGTTTACTTCCGTGTTGATTTCATAGTATGATTTTGTCACAATTTGACTATTTTGTTTTTTTTATTTTTAGTGGAATAAAATATACTCGTTAAAAACTCTCACACCTATAATTGTACTATTATGAACTAAAAATATCTTATCTGATTATGTGTAAATTTACGCTTTTTAATTATCTAATTAAAATACATCTTCATTGCATTAAAAATTGCATGAGACTTTTGAGGCGACATATGTATGTAATTTAACTTTGCAATGTATTTTCACACTAGATAAAATCGATGCTTTAAAAATTACAGTTTTTGTTTAATACAATATTCCAAGATTGTTGCAATACATTTATAGATGAACACTAACTTATCCAGTAATCTTTTCACAACGAATTGTGCAATGTGTAATTTGTATTCTTTGTATTTTTCTAGGTTATGTTAAGCTTCGCTATGATTACATTAGCATCTGCTGGTCACTTAGCAGGGTATAATGCCTACAATGGTTACAACGGATTCAGTTCCGGCAACGGAGGATTTGGTTACAGCGGTGGAGCCAACATACCAATTCTTCGTTATGATAACGTCAATAATGGCGACGGAACCTATAGATACAGGTATATGAACTACAAACTATACTATCTAAACCAGTGTCACTACTTAATTGATAATTAAAGAAATATTGTGACATTACATTTACGTACCTATATGTATATATCAATATACCTACATATGAAAACTGAATCAATAGCTTCATAAATTAACAAATTATAAATATCTTTAAACCAATAGCTACAGATAGTATTGTGTTATATTTAAGAAATATTTATTTTATTTTACAGTTACGAAACCGGTAATGGAATATCAGCCCATGAGAGCGGTGCCCCCCGAGCTTCAGGGCCTGAAGGTCCAGCTGTGACAGCTGAGGGCGGTTTCTCTTACCGCGCTCCTGATGGACAGCAGATCTCGCTGACGTACACCGCTGATGAGAACGGCTTCCACCCCACGGGCTCCCACATCCCTACTCCTCCTCCCATCCCTGAAGCCATACTCCGCTCTATCCAATTCAACAGACAAAATCCTTCTCAGTAAGTACTCTTGTATATAAAACTATGTATATTAAAACAAGACATTCCTATGGCGTATTGGTACATACTTACTTAACTAAGTTCAAGTATAGCAGGGCCGGGTTCGATTCTCAGTTGGAACAATTTAGGTAACCTAATTTTTTTAATTTAAGTGTTTGTTTTTTATTGCTGGTCTCCTCATAATATTGTGTATCTATAGTAGATGCGAAGGAATTACTGACAATTCTTTGTTTGTTGTACTACATATTTAAATCCATTCTTTGGATTTAAATAGCATAACATTGTGCTGAAATTCTCAAAAATTTCGCTTCCTTATTTCTCGTACTTCAAAGTTTTCATCACTTGTCTTATATGTAACAATTGATTAAATTTTCTATACATTATTATTATTATTAGGTACGTAGAAAATAGAACAAACATCAAACAATAAATTAAAAGTATTACAATTATGGTAGTAACTAACAACCGACGTTTGTTCTCAAACAACCTTCAAACTTAATAGAAAAGAGAGGAGATAAATAAATAATTTTACTTCATAAATTATATAAATATATTCAATCTTTATTAAGTTATAGTGAACTTAATAAAGATTGAATAAATTTATAAGGAAGAAGGAAACTTTATTTTTGCCTTATTTGTAATTGAGCAGTTCAATGTTAATAATTAATTTAACAACACAAATCTATTAAAATACTTAACAAGTTAATTAAATCTTTTGAAGTGCCTCAGTGAAAAAAACGGAAATAGATACATATAAGAATTTTCAATTACTACTAGCAGTTTACTCTACTGTATTCAAATATCAACGTGTTTATGAATCAGAAGTTATCGATTCATGAAATAACATTGCAGGAGGACGATCATTCTAACGTCTTGATGTATTCATGAATATGCTTTGTTTCAGTGACGGCTCCTACAACAGCGGCGCGTACAATGGTTACCGCTACTAAGTAACTCACACGACAACTGCGATCACACATCATTGATAATGGACTGTGATACACCCACGATATTTATATAGCTTATTGTAAATAAAATGCACAACTATTTATTGCTACTGACGCAGAAAGTAAAATTTATATAATAAATGATTTAAAAAAAACCTTTGTTTGCATCAATATATCATTTTTATAGAAGGTAACATAGATATAGTAGTATAAGTACATAATTTACTAACATGACAGTACTACGTTATGTAGCACAGAAGTAATTAAAACAATTAATAAAAAATCTCTGTCTAAAATCAAATATACTTGACAAAATAAGAAGTCTTACCTAACCTAATAGATACATAAATAATCTACATATATGTAATTTCTTTGTGACTTATAACCTTAAACATCACTAATAGATGAATCAGTAATATAAAAAAACACCAAAAAAGGGAATTTTTGGGACCATTAGGGAAATTTCGGATTAAATAGACCTTTAATTCAGTCTTTATTAAAAATTACTAAGGATAACATTATGATATTTGTACTCGTATGTGGGTAACATTTCATTATGAGACAAAATATAATCACATAATTTAGTGATATAAGGGACAATAATACGTGAGTTCAGTTTTATAAAACTAAATTCATACTCATTTGTTTTCTGTAAAACACCTATACATTAATATTTAATAATGTTGGTAAGCAGATATCAGTTGCATAACCGCATTAATCAGGCGTTAAGAAATCGCTAACTGTATGTAAATCAATTATTATTTTAATAATAAATATGTATATATTATAGTTTGTGTAAATACTAAATGTGTATAATATAATAATGCAAATGAGGACATTTTAGACCACTTAACACGTTACTTGCATTGTTCTTCAATATTTTTTCTACCATCCGATTTTAGATATATATTGTAGTCAAATTTGAATGAAATATGATTGGATGGTTTTAGTTGAAAACTTAAATTTCAGTTTGACCTGAACCAGATTTTAATCAATGATACTAGGCAGTATGTTTGCATATTATAATTTACTACATGTATTATATATATAAACCTTCCTCTTGAATCACTCTATGTATTTAAAAAAAAACGCATCAAAATCCGTTGCGTAATTTTAAAGATTTAAGCATACATAGAGACAGACAACGACAGCGAGTTTGTTTTATACTATGTAATGTAATGAATCCGAATGATGGCATAGCAATGAAATTTCTTGATAGCAATATTTTATAATAATATAGGTGTGGTTCTCTTCATAACAATTAAATTTTTTATGTATCTGGAAAGGGAAACAAGTCACGGCCCACCTGATAGTAAGTTATTATAGTCGTCTATACATTTAATACACCAGGTACATCACGTCAACGTGATCTATCATTTTGGAGGACTAAAATATCATGCCACTGCCTCTACCTCTATACTCACTGACTCTTTCCCTTTAATCTAAAGATATCTCATAAAGCAAGGTAAAAAAAAAAGCAAATCAAGCAATAGCGGATGAAGGTAAGATTAGTCAAAACATAGACCTACGCAGACTATTGTACCAAGCCTACTTCTAGAAATAATATGTATTAGAATACAAATTTAAGTTATGTGACATAGCAACAATATCCAAAGTTAACACAGTATTCGAAATAATAATTTCTTAGGCAATACGTATCACATTTCAATTTACCTGTTATTAAAAAAATTCTATTTTTGTTATTGATGTGATATACATACTAACAACATAATAAAATATATGAATTACCTAGCTTCGCATGATCAATTAATATCGATCCTTCTAAAACTACGGTGTGTACAATCGTATTTAAAAATAAATTAGCATCATATAGGTATAGTCCTATACTATATTTCTATAAAATTATCAAATAATATGGTTGCTCGCTTTATTTATTAATGTAATGTAATCTTTGACAATTATGAATAATAAGATTATTATTTTAAATACACATACAAATTTAAATAAATTCACACGTTGTTTCAATACTGTAATATATTGGTATTACAAACACTTTAAACAGAGCATGATCTTAGCACTCCTAGTTCTACTTATTGCCACATATAAATGTCAGAGTTGACCAACTCCCCAGGTCGAATACCAATTCATCATGTTTCATGACGCCCCTTTAAGGTAGGTACTAGTATATTTGATATCATTGGTAAGTTGTAAAATTATATACATTGCTTCTTAAAATTCATAAAACGATTTTCAAGTTATACACCACTTATCTATGTTTGGTGAATTACAAAAATGATTCATTTACACAAAGCCATGTAAAATTCTACTTTCCTATTCCTTCAAACTGAATGTCTAATAGCAATAAGGCAGTACAATAATCAAAATTACAATGTGTATAATAGAAACTATAGACTATAATACCAATACATTACAAAGATTTTTTTTATATTAATCTTGTAGTTAGTAACTACAAGAAAGATATAGTATAATGTTGTTGATTTTTAGTCTTCTCGAAAAGTTTAAGAAATTTCAGTATTTAGCTATTATTTTTCTAAAATTTTTTTATTCCACACTTAATGTGAATTTATATTCAATCGAATAACAATTTAAAAACAAACTACATTTTGATACAAGAATTACTGTAACCCATAGTACATTGCTAGTATTAACTATCAAGTATAGGTTTAGTACTAATTGTTGCAATTATATAATATTATAAAATATTGTTGTTCCTTATTGTTGCCCATTCTTACTAAATTAGTGCTTACTTAAAGCACCTACATTTATAAGAGTTGCTGATGAAAAATCTTATGTTTATGAAAATTGACTGTTTATTCTGTTATTTTTTATAAATATGTAAACTCTAGATTACATTTACCTACTGATTTCTTTAGAATTCTGATAAATAGAGAGAATAGAATAAAACAACACAAAAACCTTTCAAGGATAATTTAAATTTATTAATAAATTACACATCTGTTAGATAAATTATTAATAATAATTTGCATCGATATCACAGTCCATGTTCTGAGGTAAGCTGACATTGTTATCTTATAAATATGACTTAATAGCGGTAGGCATTCCTTCCCCCATTGTAAGCACCATTATCTCTGGAAAATAGAAAGAATATTCATTATTTTCAAAACATAATAAATATTTATGAAATCTGACATACTGCGTTATAAGAAACATAGAGTGTGACAATTTGAGGCTACGGAGGTACAGATGATATAGAGCTAAAGTTGGTATACAATGTAAATTCCAAATTGACTCGACCAATATTAGGACCTGAAATCTGATATTATAACATGAAAATGAACGTAATGTATATAAAATTCAGTTCAATTCATAAAGAGAAGTTAAACTATTTTATTTATATTCAGAACAATATACCGCCATGAATAATTTTAATATGCTACAAATAATGGGATAAAAGCACGGCAATGATGACGACGACAAAAGTGTTTTGCTTCATAAGTCAGTCTCACACATTTACCCTTTACCTTTTAGGCTATGGCATGCGGCAGACAATAGCATCTACTAGCTAACCCGCGCCACTTTGTCTGCGTACCATAATAGGCCCCGTTTATGCTATATTTTTCATTTATACATCACTCCTATTGGACCGTAATGTTATACAACCTTCCAATACATTTTTTTACCCAAATCTTGATATTTGGTCTTAATAGTCTTGCCATGATCGACGTCAGTTTTTTTGTGATATTTCGAATCTCTAAACTTTTAGAATAACATTAACACTTACGAAGACGGATTTTGTCTGTTGAATTCAATAGAGCGGAGTATGGCCTCTGGAATGGGCGGTGGTGTGGGGATATGGGATCCTACGGGATGAAAGCCATTCTCATCAGCTGTGTACGTGAGCGAGATCTGTTGACCATCGGGAGCGCGGTACGAGAACCCGCCTTCAGCAGTCACAGCTGGACCTTCAGGTCCAGCAGCCCGGGGAGAACCCCTCTCATGAGCTGAAATTCCACTAGGAGTGTCGTAACTGAAAAAGATATTATATCCAAAATTATTTTTTCTATGTCTAAGTAATTAGTATAGTGCTACAACTAATTTACGAGAATTGTAATTAACAACTAAAACATTACAATAAAATTAGATTCACGGAAATAGTATTCAGTAAATTGTCTCGCTATGTAAAATGTAGATATTCTAGACGTAACATGATGCATAAAAACAGAATAATAGAGGAAATCACGTATTAAAATCTTGATGTCAAACAAATTAGAAACATTATACCTTTATTCATGTAAATAGGAATATATATATCTTCAAATATAGATTATCTCTTTTACAGTATACTAATATTATACACATGAAAATAAATATCTAATGATTATTTGGTAACTCTTATCATCTTAATAGATCGACATGAGAAGGATTAACGTAGTATTTAGAAGAAATGACAGATTACTTTTTATTCGAATCAATCAATATATTAAGTGACCGAAATTCCATAACCAGAAAATGTTTATGTTTGTCAATTTACAGTGCTACGCTACCCAGATTGTATGCAGATTGTTCCAATCACAACAACAACAAAATTTTATGTGGGTCGTTACGATTACGTTTTATATATGGTAAATGTCAAAGTTTCCTATTTCCTATGACATTTTGAACTATTCGCCCATATAACACCCACTAACATGAGCACAGAATTGGTCTTTTATGAGATACTTACTTACCTAAGTGCTGCATCTTTGAGGATGTAATATAGACCTTCTAATTTTAAGACCCCGCTGTGGCCTAGTTCTTTACTACCTAGATGTCAGTAGCCGTGACTTTGAATGTAACTAACATCAAAACTTTGTACACGTGATGGGCTTTTGCTATTAAATCAGTGCTCTCGTCCAAGTGGAATATTATGTTTACCATAATAACAAAAGTATAATATATGTAACATACGGGTATCGCACATAAATCGCACAGGACGCAAATGTTTAAATAGATTTAAATGTTTGATAAAACCGAATCTAATAAACGTACTGTATTTAAATGGTTTTCACTTTCCCATGGAATCGCAATAGTTTTCAGTGAAATTCTCTAATGAACTGTCAAAGCTAATTGCTCTACCTCTAGCATTTTGTTTGGTAGCGTCATTATATGATGCCTGTGATTTCTTTCATGTATTAACTGAGCACTAAGGTGTCTTGTCTCCGTGTCGTGTAATTTTATAACATATTTTTCAACTGAAACACAGCTTACAAAGTAGCATACTGCTTGGCGGTTGTAATAATTGAGACAAGGTGGGACCCAGACTTTATACAAAGTTTACCTCCGTATTAATCACAATACACTTTACTGTACATATTACTATAATATATTTAAAAGTACTCGTTACCTGAAACGGTAAGTGCCATCTCCATTATTAATATTCTCGTACTGGGATGGAGGAGCATTATATGCGCCGGCACCTCCAAATCCTTGAGTTAGATGATCTAGTCGGCCAGCAGACACAACAGCTACTAGAGCGGCAGATAAAATGATAGTCTGAAACATGAGAAAATTCACATTTAATAAAAAGTCCAAAATAAATAATTAAAATATAGGTTCTTATTATATATTCTCATATTCCCAGGAGAAGTCGAAGTAATAGAGTTGATATATTTTAAACCACAGCGTATTTTAAAACATGACGTATACCAAAAAAAAAAATTTTTTTACGAGTAAAAAAAAAAATTTTTTTTGGTATACGTCAAAGCGATATCCTTACTAGTCCAATTTAGAGAATTGTTTTTATTCGGTACCTCTTTTGACTATATTAAATTAAGGCCCGTACAGAAATCCAAAAAATTTTAAACAAATTAAATTATTCAGAATATTTACAAAACTACAAGACAAGTTATCTTAATAATAAAGTTTTGAAGAAACTTATACACCTTTCTATATTCTAACTTTGTGAAAATGCGCAACATATTGTTTATTACGTATAATGTAAAACAAAAGATGTAAAACCAGCTCTAGCACTTTGAAAACTATACAACAAGTTGCTAATTGGGATGTCTAAAATATTGTTACTTAGCTATTTAAAATCTGTTCAACAAAAACATCAACTAAACCGTAACACACAGCTATTATACCAAATGGGATAGTCAGAGGCATTTTCAACTGTCAATACTGTGGTGATCACAACTTGACATATCCATATTTGCTTGGTATATATATACATATATTTGAATGTTGTTAATTATAACACAAACAAATATAATGTTTCTTTCTAAAAATGTTTACAACTCATTGTGTTATTGTAACAGCATATCAGAGCGGCGTCAAACAATGGATGTTTACAATCCTAGGCCGTACAGTTTGTTTCCTTACCAGTCTCGACATGGTGGTTCGTCAGACAGATATGCTGATGTGATAGTTCGACGAGGTTCGCAGTTCGAGTACAGAATGCAGGGATGTTCACGTTTTATATCAGCCGAGTTTGCCCTTTCGACGGGTTGCCTCACCTTGCTCGTATTGTTGATCTGTTTAGATGAACCCAGGTCTTATTTAAAAGCGACAGCGGATTACTTTTATAATTTTCTTAATAATAATTTTTCATTAATTCCAGCATGGATGTAAGATACAACAAAACAATGAATATGAAAATAATATAAAATTTACATGTCTTAAAAGCAATCATTTTAAGCAAGTACTTACTTAATATTATATAAAAATATATATCAGTTAAGTTTTTTCCCAGCTCTATTCACCAAGCGCAAATAAATACTTTTGACTTTTTAATTTCAGTACTTCACATTTGAATATCATTATATTAATGTGCTATGAATTTCTCCATTATTACACTCCAGTTTTGTATTTATTTTTATACTCTTATATAAAGAAATCCTGTAAAGAAAATAAGTATAAAGACAATATACAATAAATAATAACAATTCAAAATTAAATTCAATCGCTATCACCTATGACTTACATTGAAAATATTTCCCTTAGAGGGTACCAAGACGCCCCGTCGCGCCCCGCCCAGTGTCTACATGCAAGGTGAGGATGTTAACTACGCTAAACAGTGTAAAATATTTATAAAGCCGAAAACACTATGCTTCGAGCATTTATTATCTCACAAATCCTGTCATCTACGAGTACAAATCTTTGGAAATATTTTATTGAAAGCTGCAATGCAATTTAGAACTTGCGAAGGCTACAGTATATTTCGTATATGAAAACTAGCCAAGTTAGATCTTAGGCTACAGTATATTATCCTAAGTTATAAGAAGAAATGATATTTTATATTGTTATAAATACATTTGTAATGATATAATAATAAGTACCAACCAATCATTCCAAGAGGAACCCATTACGAATCTTAAGCTAGTTCGGTCGTAATTTTGTTTTTCTAGCATTAGCTAGAAAAAAAGTATAATAATAAACCTTAATTGATCATGACAATCTATTGACAATATTCATCAATGTATATGTATGTTAAACGGACCTGAACATACGGTTAAAAAAAAAAAGCGGATGGTAATAATAAGGTGGATTTTGTCAATCAGTGTGTTACAGAACAGACTGAACTGACAAAACAATATAAGTATAATTTAAGAAACATGTACTGGAAAGGTATCATAACAACTTAATCTTTAGAAATGGCAACATTATTAATGTTATTCATTTTGACAAAAAAAAATATAATTAACGCATCACACGTCTTCATATTTGTTTCCTGCATACATTTTAATAATTTTCTGAGTGTATTTATGAAAATTTTATTTAAAAAAAAGACAAAGCATTCGCATCGATATAAAACATAAAGCACTAGATCCCATTTCACGTATTAATTTTTAGATTAATAGTTTTAATTTTTTTTATTTTTCTATGGATAACGATATGAATGATAACCCAAATTAAAAAAGGCACGATTTTTCAAAACATGCCCTTTCATAAGTCGTACTAGTGATATTTTGCGTATTGAAGTGAACTTATATACTTTCTGCAATTGTTTTTTATGCATTAAACATTACGGTAACCGCTTATCAGGTAGGCCGTATGGTTTGCCAGATTTTGATATAAAAAAATGCACTTACGTAAATTGTTATTTGATTCCTAACATAATTGACTGAAGCTAATGAAGCCGCTGTACACCTACATTTCATTATAGACAATTAATTCTACTCATAACTACAATGCTGTGCTATGCAATGTATGTCTCAACTCAACCTCAACAGTAACAATCCCCGAACCTGTGCGGAGTTATCTTGTACCCTAACACAATGCCTAAGACAATAACCCATCTACATACATACCAATAACTTATATCGCATGAATCGTGTTGCATCTTACAAGCACGGATGTATTATCACAAAATACCGCAGTACCATTATCACAGAATACCGAATGTAATTGACTTCAGGTCTAACCTGTACTTTAATGCATCATTTGTTATTTGTAGCAGTATTCTCAGGTGCTAATACTATAAATATTAAAAATAGTTTTGTTACTATTTATCTACAAACATATTGGTGTATTTATCAACAAACAGTTTGAAATTTGGAATTTTGACTTGTGCAAAAACGAGTAGTATGATTATATGTATATAATTTGAAATGTAGAGATCTACATATCTATGTAGAGATCTTCACTTAGAATTTATCTTTTATTTGGATTTTCACATTTTCTGAACTCAAAAGAGAACTTCAGCATTCCATATGTAATATTAATTCATGTTCAACTGACAATAAAACGCCTCGATCGCCAACGTTCATGTTCATCAAATATGTATTACAGTGCTTTTTGTTTAGAAATCTCTTTGAAGCGTCCTCATGAGATTGGTGACAAAGAGCATTAAGAATTAAAATGAATCGCAATAAAAATAATAAATACCATGTTCAGGTCATGAACAAACCACTCTATGTGACTACCTATCAACTTTTTGTTATAATGATAACTTAAAAAGTACTTGTCAAATTTATATGAGTATATATTTTATATGGCCACACGAGAAGCACCAACTGCAAAAAATAATTATTTAAATCAGTTGACGTAGAAAACAATTTTAACCGAACCGATTTGGTAACCGAAAAATATTTAAATATTTTCGATTTTGAAAATTCCCCTGTATGAATTTTTTTTTGAACGAATGTTCGGGGTGAACATAGACTGTAAATTTAAAGAAGCTAAACCGCGGCTATCTCTACTGTAAGTAAAAACTGGCAGTATATTATTATTTACCTATATAATTCATTTTCAATCTTGTATTAACGTAGATTTAGATATAGAGGAAGTACCAACGTTGAAAACGTTTGTTTAAAATCGGGCATTTTGCCAGATTTTGCTTTGTACTAAGCTGTTAAATAAACTAGCAATCGAACAACTATCGTGGAAGTTTTCTTTGCCATACATCATGACGCACAAGAACTTGTGTACAACAGGTTAAATGATAACATTATGGTTTATTTTATTTGTCTAGAGGTACAAGACTCTATAACAAATACGTATACAACAACCGGCAACAATACTAAGAATTTACACTTCGATCCAATATTTACACAAAGAAAACCAGACTGCTATGACGAAGTTTTTAGGGATTCATTTGTAAAATGGAATGGTAACAATTTTTACCTACTCGATGGTTATTTTGTTGTGTGTTGGATACCTACACATGAGCATTATATTGGCAAGTAGGACGCGTGTTACTAATGTTTTGTCATTCAATAGGACAAATTTGTCATGCCCGTCTGTCCTGTAATTTCACTGCCATACTCATCCTTTAAATCAAAAACAGCAGTGCAGAGGATAAAACTAAGCTATTATCGTTTAAAGTCTAAATCAGAATGTACGGGTAACTCCTTTAGTGGATTAAAAGCAAAAACGCAACGATGCCTTTTGCTAATAATAATATAAAATTTACAGACATTCATTATTTGCAAAATTTATCGTCAAATTATTACTACATACTAATGCATATAAGAATAATAGGAAGAAAGAGAATTGCATAAATATTTTATTCTATTAACTTTAGACATACAAGACATTTTATTGCAAATATACATATATATATAAAACTAGCATAGTCTTTATGGTCTGGTATATGTGGACATATCGCGATTCCCTATGGAACTTCGTAACTTCATATTTTTCAGAAACTCATATAAAATGCGACCCAGAAAATATTCAAACTGCGACTATAACAGACGGAAGACAATGGACTCCAGGGTATGTTGATTCAATTTTGAATAGAAAACACAAACAGGCTTCCGGAAGTTGCAAGAAATATTATTTAGTCATAACTCACACAAAATGTAAAATACATTTTACAGTACTTACAAAATCTAAACAAATTCGTCTAAACTATTACTATATTATAAATGCGGAAATGTGTCTGTCTGTTTTATACATTTTCACGACTAAACGTATAAATGGATCTTAATGCAATTTGATGTGAAGATTGATTATAAATATGACATGGACGGATAACATTTGTCTAAAAAAAGCATACAATGTTGCTTAGGTAACAGCTACTAATTTATATAATTACACAAATGGATTTTGAGAATTTTTGAATTAAAAATCCTCAAAATACAGTTCAATTTAAACATTATTGAAATTTACTATATTTTTATTATTTATTATTATGGAGCAAATATTTCATATATGTTTATTGCGCGCGCAGTTCATCCGCGTGAAATTATGTTATTAGTTTTATCAAAATCCGTTCAGTAGTTTTTGCACGAAAGAGTAACAAACATTTATCCATACTATCGAACTTTCACGTTTATAATATTGTATAGATTATTCAAAAGCTACACAATTTGAAAGAAGTCATTTTAACCTTTCAGTTTAAATCCTACCTGATTTATTACTATTATATTATATTATCTGTGGTTACAGCAACAAAATAAAAAAAGACTTTTCTTTCATGCAATATAATAGACTATGGTTTAAAATAATATAAAAATGTCACTATATCACTACTGTTCAATATATAAATGTATTATACCTTTATATAACTGCAACTTTCAGTAATAGTTATGTCATTACGTTCTGTTACGGGTTATTGGGCTCTCTAAAATATGGTCGAGCGCAGTGATGGGTGGCTCATCCATCATACTCGTGAACGAGTGCTGCTTGTAGGGACTGGTCTGCTCTTATCACTACGACTGATTTAATCTTAATTGTATATTTATATTAGACCCTAATAAATTAGTGTTGGTTGGTAGTTTGTATTCTCACGTTTCGACTTGTAAATGTAAACTTACAAGGATTATTTAAAAGAGCAACACACAAGTTTCTTGCTCATTCTTCTTGCGATGAAATAGCTTTCCGAACGGGCGGTAGATAAAAAAAATAGTTAAAATGACTATTCAAAGTGCTTAAATTAAGTTTATTTGAATAAATGATTTTCTATTCTAATTCTTTAACTTTCCATCGACAATAGAA